AAGCTGCAAGTTGATTTTCTTGTGTTCTGTGTATAGCAAGTTTTTTTTTGGGGGGGGGGGAGAAAATCACTTTATTCTAATTCACAAATGAGAACATCACAAAAGGTGATTTAAGGAGGCACACAAATATCTGCCCAACCCCAAATTCAAACCATCTCAGTGAACTTCTAGACAGTAAGAACAACCTTTTTTATTCCAGTTCTGAAGAAAGCTGTATTTAATGATGAAGGAGAAGCTTAACTGGTGGTTTTACACTTTATATATTCACCATTCACCATCAATTATATTTTTATGCTAAATTAACTTGGTTATGAGAGATGATTTTCCTTATCTTCAATTTGAACTTCTTGATTAGGCTAATCCATTTGCAGATCTGCACTGTTTCAGCACCTCGCTGAAACCTTCACAAAGCTTCAGGTCACCCTGGTTCTGGGCACCCTCCAGAAACTGTTTCATCTCATAGTGGCATGGGCCAAACTGCTGCTGCTCCTGGTACGCTGGCTGGGTTCCCTGAGGCTCCTGGTAAGTGATGTCAGGCCTTGAAGGCTCAGCATTGCCTCCTCCACTGAAGCCCCCAGTGATGGCATGACCTATCGTGTGCCCGACAGCAGAGCCCACAGCCACGCCAGCTGCAGTGGTTGCCATCTGGGCCATGAGCCCTGGCTGCCGGGGCGCAGCATCAGGTGAGCCGACAGCAGCTGGTGGAGCCGCTGCCGGAGGCTGAGCTGCTGGCGCTGGTCTAGGCGCCGCTCTCGTCTGAGGTGCCCGGCTGGCCGGAGGGGCCATGCGGGAGGTGCGGCTCCGACTTCCACGCGGCATGGTGACTTGCAGAGCAGCTCAGTGTCTCTGAGCAAGTTTTTAACATGTAGTTTTTTGTTTTGTTGTCCTCGTAAGGCAAGTTTTATTTTGTCTTCATTTCACAGAGAAACAGGTTGAGAAATGTGGGCAGCGCTTTATGGCTGAGAATTACAAAGCCACAAGAATATGCAGTTTTGGGGGCACCTGGGTGGCTCAGTCGTTAAGCCTCTGCCTTAGGCTCAGGTCATGATCCCAGGGTCCTGGGATCGAGCCCCGCATCGGGCTCCCTGCTCGGTGGGAAGCCTGCTTCTCCCTCTCCCACTCCCCCTGCTTGTGTTTCCTCTCTCGCTGTGTCTCTCTCTGTCAAATAAATAAAATCCTTTGAAAAAATATGCAATTTTGATCCCCGTTGTGTTTTTAAAAGTAAACATTTTCTGTTTTTGAGCTTGGAGCTAATTGATAATAAATGGTGTATATTTATTCCTAAACATTTTCTTGGATTTCAGATCCTAAATACTTTACAGTGAAATTCCTTCATACAAAAGGTATACGTGAGAGGAAAATGGTTGCATTAATGAGAGCCGAGTTAAAATGCTTATTTTTTTTATGATGCTTAATGATCATAGGGTATTTGAAGAGAAAGGAAGCTCATCTCTAAAGGAACATCAGCATAGAGGGAACTAAAATGGTCATGAGAGCAAGAATTTCTTTTTTTTTTTAACATTTTATTTGAGAGAGAGCGAGCGAGCACGAGAGGGGGCTGGGGCAGAGGGAGAAGCAGAGTCCCCGCTGAGCAGGGAGCTGGACTCGGGGCGCGTGGGATCATGACCTGAGCTGAAGGCAGACACTTAACCAGCTGAGCCACCCAGGTGCCCAAGAAAGCAAGAATTTCTTAAAATGGTACTTGCTTAATCAAGAGCTGGCTTCCAAGGCTGTCCTTTTGATTTAGTCCTAATACCAACTATTTTCCAAAATGTTAAATTTCCCCAATTTGTAGCTCAAAGGTCTCGTCTGATAAATGCTTAAATCTTGCTGATCTTTACTGTGGAATTAGGACTCAAGTTTATGTTGTGAGTTGAGGAATGACATGCACACTAAGAATTTCAGATTTTATTCTTTGATATCTCTGACTAGGACCTTTGTAAATCAAAGTACTTCTGTTTTTACCCTGCCAAATATCAGATGTGTTTTGGGGGGTTTCTTTCTCTTTCTCTCTCTCTTAGGTTTCTAGAGATTCACAGGCTTTAGAAGTTAATTGAAGGTGGTCCATTAGGTTTGGAGGAGACATTTAGAAGTGATTTGTGTAGCCCACAGTTTCCCAGCCTGGGAACTGTGATGTGTTGGATTTGGTGATTCTTTGCTGTGGGGTTTGGGGTAAGTCCTGTGCACGGTGTCCCGTCCGTAGCAGCATCCGTGGCTTCTGCCTGCCAGGTGCTGGTAGTTCACCTTCAGTTGTGACAACCAGTGTCTCTGGATGTTGTGTAAAGACCCCTGAGAGACAAAATGGCCCAGGTTGCAGACCTCTGACACTGCGCATGTCCCGTAAGTGGAGGTTCTCTTCTCTGGAACTCTGACGTGGAGGAAGAAACTTGCTGCCTTCTCTAGCGGTCCAATTCGGCTTCACGTGGCTCTCTTGGGGGAGAAATCTTTTCTCAGGGGTAAGCTAAAATCTGCCACCTAAACGTTTACTACCATCTGTGACTTTATAGTTATACCTCTTAGGGTCGCACAGCATAGATACAGACCCACAGACAAACTTTCGCAGTCGTGGGAACATAGGCACATGGTCCTTCCTAGTCTCTTTCTTATTTGATTGTTTTAGAGCCTGAGTTGGCAAACTTTTTTTAATGGGCCAGGTAATATTTTAGGTTTTTAAGGTCTCTGTTGCATAGTTTTCGCTTCCTTCTTCCATCCCTCCCCCTTCCATCCCTCTTTTTATTTTTTGCAACCCCTTAAAAATGTAAAAGTATTCTTAGCTGACACAGACTGGTCGTGGCCTCTCGGCAGCCTCCCAGTCCCTGGTTTTAGAGCCTCTTCTGCCTGGGATGATCTTCAGGGGGCAGGGCCTTCTCCACGGTGTGCCCTGGAGCCGGGCCCTGGAGCCGTACAGCACGGAATAATGGACTTGTCACTAACTGTTAAACGTACTTAAAGTACTGTTTTGCTTGTTTGAGCGTGGTCACATTTTCAGCTTAAAATGACCTTAATGCCAACCAAGACTTTGGTTTGTCTTTTTATTAGGCCACATGACACCGCCTAGGATATTTTTAGACTTGAGCATAGGACCATCCATATATCCATCTATATATATATATATTTTTTTTTTTAAACAGTCTAAATTTTTTTTTATTGAAGTGTAGGTGACACACAGTGTTACGTGAGTTTCGGGTGTACAGCATGGTGATGGGACAGCTCTGTGTGTTGGCTACCTCACAGGTGTGGCTACCGTCTGTCGCCGTACAAGGCCACCATGGCACCATTGCTGTCCCTTTCATTCCCATGACGTACTCACTCCATAGCTGCAAGCCTGTATCCGCACTCCCCTCCCCTCATTTTGCCCTTCCTCCCGCTGGCAACCATCAGTTCTCCATAATTGTGAGTCTGTTCCTGCGTTTTGCTTGTTTGTTTATGCATTTGCTTTGTTTTTTAGATTCCACGTATAAGTGAAACCATATGTAATTGTCTTTGTCTGATTTCACTTAGCATAATACCCTCTAGGTCCATCCATGTTGTTGCACATGGCAAGATCTCATTATGTTTTAAAGATTTTATGTATGTATTTGAGAGAGAGCGCAAAAGCGGGGGGGTGGGCAGAGGCAGAGGGAGAAGCAGGATCCCCTGCTGAGCAGGGAGCCCGATGCAGGGCTTGATACCAGGACCCTGGGATCATGACCTGAGCCCAAGGCAGACGCTCACCTGATTGAGCCACCCAGGCGCCCCAGGATCTCATTTTTTTTTGGCTGAGTAATACTCCACTGTCTGTGTGTGTGTGTGAGAGAGAGAGAGAGAGAGAGAGAATACCACATCTTTATTCATCCTTCTGTTGATGGACACTTTAGTTTGCTTCCCTATTTGGCTATTGTAAATAATGCTGCAGTAAACATAGGGGTGCATAGATCTTTTCAAATTAGTGTTTTTGTTTTCTTTGGGTAAATGCCCTGTACTGGGTCATAGGGTAGCTCTATTTTTAAGTTTTTGAGGAGCCCCTGTACTGTTTTCCACAGTGGCTGCATCAGTTTGCATTCCCACCAGGTGCACAAGGGTTCCTTTCCTCCACATCCTCCCCCAACACTTGTTGTTTCTTATCTTTTTGATTCTAGCCATTCTGACAGGTTTAACGTGTAAACTCATTATGGCTTTTTTTTTTAAAGATTTTTTTATTTATTTGAGAGAGAGAGAGAATGAGAGAGAGCACGAGAGGGAAGAGGTCAGAGGGAGAAGCAGACTCCCTGCCGAGCAGGGAGCCCGATGTGGGACTCGATCCCGGGACTCCAGGATCATGACCTGAGCTGAAGGCAGTCGCTCAACCAACTGAGCCACCCAGGCGCCCCTCATTATGGCTTTGATTTGCATTTCCCTGACGAACGATGTGGAGCATCATACCATGTGGCTGTTGGCCATCTGGATGTCTTTGGAAAAACACCTGTTCAGGTCCTCTGTCCATTTTTAATCAGATTATTGGGGTTTTTTTGGTGTGTAAATTCTTTATATCTTTTTATATCCAGCTATATTAAATCTCAGCTAGAGCCCTTTCTTGCTCTAGCCTTTTGAGAGCTTTCTGGATCCTGTTTTGTCCTATAAAATCTTAAAGGAACTTCTCTTGGCTTTATGTTACTTGAATGTTTGGTAAGCATATGTGGCTCTTCCGCTTAAGTCACAGGTCAGAATTTGAATGAGACGTAGCTGAGAGCTGAACCTGAAACCACAGACACTTAGAAAATAGGGTAGTTTTACTGTGTGGCTAAGCTGGTCTCTATTCTTTCTTAAAAAAAATTCTTTTGTAGAATTGTACTCGGATCTGCATTGTAGCATCCATAAATTAGAGGTTTTGGTCATTACAGATGGCTTTCAAAGTCCTTAGACAGTGAGTCAGTGACCATGACAGAAAAACTTTAATTCATATTCAAAAATGAAAGAATTTTAAGTAATGGATTTTTTTTCAAAAAATAGCTGATACATAAAAATGTATTTTTTTATTTCAGAAAGGATTTACACCAGCTGCCCCGGTTCATGGCAATAAAGAAGATCCGGCTGCCCAAACGAACTTGGGATTTATCCATGCGTTCGTCGCCGCCATATCGGTTATCATTGTATCTGAGCTGGGCGACAAGACATTTTTCATAGCGGCCATCATGGCCATGCGCTATAACCGGCTGACGGTGCTGGCGGGGGCCATGCTCGCCTTGGGCCTGATGACGTGCCTGTCAGGTGAGTGCGCTTCTTCCTCCCCGTGACCTTAACTGAATTAAGGAGGAAGTGTGGTGTGGAGCATTGAGTCCTTGACTCGTTTAGCTAGCTGGTCAGGTGCACTTGCGTTGACCGAGTTCCAGAATCTAGTAAACAGAAAATAGTGTCAGGTACGTACATGACTAAAAACCATGCTGTACTTTTAAAAAAAATGAAAATTTCAGTGATTCACAGCCAAGATCTGTACTCCTCATTTATTCACGAGTTTTTTATCCTGGGTTTGGCTGTGTATACCCTTGCTTTTTTTTTTTTCAGTCCAGATAAGTTTCTATCTGATCTCTTAGAAATAAGACTCAAGTCACAACAGAGCATTATCGATTGAAGGACATTTCAAGGACGTGTTGGAAAGCAGTAACTTTTGAAGGACATTTGGTAATCAGTAACTGAAGAGTCACTTTCAGTTTGTTGTGTTTGATTAAGATGTTCTTACCCATTATAATAAAGGGATGGAATGTTCTTAGATTCCCAGTTTGTGTTACTATTGCATAGGCTTCAGTTTTTCAAAGAATTAGACCATGAGAAAGTAAGCTTAACACTAAATAATGAGGCATAGCTGAGTCTCTGATTCAGAAGCCACCCCAAGCCACCTAGCTGGGTGGAAAACTTAGCTTTCCCCTGAGAGTCAGACGTGGGTGGGAACCTGTCGCGGAGTGGCCTACTGATAAGTTCCTTAACCTGCCAGCCTCAGTGTCCCCATCTGTGGAATGGAGACAGACGATAATGCCTACTTCCCTCGTCAGGTTGCGGTCTGTGTTAAATGTTTCAGGTGCTCGGTCCTTCAGCCCTCCGCACCTCTCCCACCTCTCGCGGAAGCTGGTTCTTCAAGTACGGAGCAGGTTCCGTTTTTGGCTGCTTGGACGCCTGTTAGAGTTTACATCGTTTTAAACCTATTATAAATGAATAGTTTACTGATTAAAATAATCGGACTAATTTTCACATTTTAGAAGTTAGTTATAGCATCATTCATATTTCATAATAAAAACATAATTTTTTCTTCAAAAGCAAATTTTGATATAGGAAAAGTGGAGCGGGTTGTGGGTGAAATCGTGTTTAGAATGAGTTTGAATAATATCGGAGAATTTTTTTTTTGAAACTTTTATTTTTGGCTTTCCGGGTAACTTGAAAACTGGCCTTTCTGCCCGTTCCCTCCTCAGAACCCGGTGCCAGGGGTTCCCCCACCTCTTCCACGCGATCAGTTCCTTTTCCTCAGCCGGGTGGCTGGCTGAGTCCCCGGCCCAGGCCCGTCTGCCGCCCACCGCCCTGCTGGCTGCCCCGCTCACCGCTGCTGTGGGGAACGAGCTGCAGCAGGGGTCTGCACGCCTTTTCCTTGGGTATCTAGGATCACTTGGAGAAACTCTCTACCCCCGCTCACATAGAAGTTGTCGAAAAGTTTTCACCATAAGTTTAAGGTGTTGCAAAGATCTAATTTCTGCTGTATTGTGTAAAATAAAACTGTTAAGGTATTCTTTTAAAATAAATCAAATGGGATCTAAATACCATTAGCAGTTTGATACCCACTGTCAGCTTCATTCCTTTAAAAATACCTGAACAAACTCTTTAACATTTGGACATTGGCATTGTTCTTTTTTCCTTTAATTCTTACTTTCCTCCTAGAATTTTACCCTAATGATAACTTTCTGCTTCAAAATCTTTTATGGATTTTGCTCATTCAGATTTAGCTCGTTCAACACGGTCATTTATCTGTAGCACAAATATGCATATAAATTGAAATTTTTTAAAAGGTTGATTTAGTTATTTTAGAGAGAGTGTGCACATGCAGGGGGAGGGAGAGGGAGCGAGGGGAGAGAGAATCTCAAGCAGACTCCCTGCCGAGTGTGGAGCCTGACATGGGGCTCCATCTCACAACCCTGAGATCACGACCTGAGCAGAAATCAAGAGTCAGAGGCTTAACCGACTGAGTCACTCAGGTGCCCCCATAAATTGAATTTTAAAAGAGACTGACGGTTTCCTTTGTTAAGTCTCCAAATGTAATATTTTTTACAGATTAAGTTATAGTTATTAATAGTACACAGTTGGGTGCCTGGGTGGCTCAGTTGGTTAAGCGACCGCCTTCGGCTCAGGTCATGATCCTGGAGTCCCGGGATCGAGTCCCACATCGGGCTCCCTGCTCGGCAGGGAGTCTGCTTCTCCCTCTGACCCAACCCCCTCTCATGCGTGCTCTCTCTCTCTCTCTCTCTCATTCTTTCTCTCAAATAAATAAATCTTTAAAAAAAAAAAAGCAAAATGTATCACAAGCTAAATACATTTATATTACTTATATTTAGCTAATATATCACACTACCTAAACCATTTTTTCAAAGTTTGGAAATGCATCTCTTCATGAAATGATAGAACTGTTTATTTGTTTTTAAGTAGGCTCCATGCCCAGTGTGGAGCCCAGTGTGGGGGCTTTGACCTCCACCTGAGACTACCACCTGAGCTGAGATCCAGAGTCAGATGCTTAACCGACTGAGCCACCCAGGCGCCCCAAAACTATTTTTTTAAAATTAGTTTATATGTCCGTGGACCAGTATTTTTATTGACCAAAGGAAGTAAGGTTTAGCTTCAACTCTAATCTTTATTTTTTTTTTAATAGAGAGATAAAGGCAGAGAAATTTTATTCACATAAATAAGTAGATAGTAAGGAATTTTGTTATAATCATACTCAGTTCATTGGACTCCTGAGTTTTAGGTTAAAAATTACATACTAGTCATCAAAAATATTTTTTAATGCTTTACCAGCTGACAAATACTGCTAAATAAGATTTGAAATACTGCTGTCAATTTTGTTGAAAGCAGAGGATTGGAAACCATCAAGTATACCGAAAAGAGTTTCTCTGAAATTTATCAAATGACTGCTCTTGTACATGTTAGTCTTTTACTTAGAAGTACCTTGTTTAACTGGCTATTAAAAATGATTGAGAAATATTGTTCATTTTAGTGTACTTTTGCCAATAAGGGATTTTGTTTAAAAACTGTATCACATCACATATTTTGAATACGTTTTTTTGCCAGTGCCTTGGAGCTGCAGATTTGGCTCGATCAGTTTATGGAAACTGTCTACCACCTGACCTAACTGCCATAGCAGTTCTAGTAGGTCCATAGTAAATCATCCAAGCCAGGTTTGTTTTCTGTCCGAAATCATTTGACTTGGTTTTTGAATTGAAATGAACGTGATATACATCCCCATGACAACCATCTGCTTTAGAATCCTTCTAAAATGGATGCCGGGGGGGCTGGATTAGGAGAGGGAGCCAGCTTTGAGAGTGCCACCAGGGCGAGAGAAGACCCCACGGGCTTTAGTGTTGCCTTCTGAGGCTTTCTTTGCTTTGTGTAACAAGACTCTGCCTTAGGGAAAACGCCTTCATTTACACCGGTTGGGGAATGAAAGAGGCATGATTTCTCAGAGAAAATTGTCATTCCTGCCAAGGCCAAAACACCCTATTTCTAATGCCATGAGCATTGGTTCCAACAAACATAATGCCGTTATTTCTGATGTCATACCCTTCCCAGCAACTTGCATAAGACAGGGAAGCCCCAAAGCCCTGTGTCTGGTTTATGATACCTTGATTGAGGACCCCAGTATTTTAGACCTCTTTGCTGCCCGAGGATATGTATTTTTCCATACTGTGGGGAAATGCACCAGAGAAAACTGGGTAAAAGGCAACCTTGTAAAGGGGACAAAAGGCAAGTGAAGGAGGGATGGGGAGAAAGGGGAGCCTGACTGACTCCTTAACTACAAGCACATTTCAGGCAGATGAGTTTTAGGAAAGACAAGTGGAACTTGGGGAAAATCCTTTATAAAGTATTCATCCGTGTCCCCTTGTGAAGTCTTTAAATATCCCTGGGAGTACCACAGCCCCAGTTTGGAGATTGTACACTTGGAAGTCTTACCCCTTTCCGACACGAGCGGGGGGCTGATTATGTTAGGCAGGCCCCTCCCTTCGCTGGGGGTGGGGGGTTCCCCTAGCCTTTCTGTGCCGTTCCACAGCAGGGATGATCATCCTGTGTGCTTCAGAGTTTTATTACTGCCGCTCTTCCTCCTCATTGCCTTTCTCCCATTTTCCTCCTTATCCACTTGTAATCTGATTTCTGCTCTGACACCTTTGGAAAGGCTTCAGTAATCAGCTTTCCTTATTAGAGTTCAGTTTTCATTTCCGTGAGCCCCCTCACACCACATTCCTGGGCTTTCCCACCTTTTTATTCTCTTGGCTTCTGTGATGCCCTGTGTTTATAGTTCTCTCTGGGAAAAAAATTTTGTGCCATTGAATATTCATATTCCCCACAGTTTTATTCTGGGCCCATTTTCCCCCTTCACACTGATATCCCTGTGCTGAGTGTTCTCAGTTTAATTACCTGAAAGTCAGTGAGTCCCAAATCTCTCTCTTCACTCCAGGTGATTTTTCTTGCAACTTCTACATTGCCAAGATGTAGAAGGACCAGGACATAACTTGTTCTGACTTGTTGCAAAGTCCTTGCTTAAAGAGAAGTAACATCTCACTGTTCCCAGAGCAAAAGTGCTTGAGTGTCTGAGGGAAAGTTTCCAAAGAAAGAGGAAATAGAGGGACAGTAACCAGAGGAAGAAAAGTTATAATGCCAGGTAGTTTTTTGTTCTCTCTGGAGAGGTCAGGCAGAAAAGATGGCAGCGTAAGTGTCCGTAAGTATCAAGGTTTGTTTTTGTTTTTTTCAGATTATCTGAAGATAGAAGGAAAACTGAGTTTAGGAGATTTAAAGAGGCTTGCTACATTCCATTTTAAAATTTAAAACTTTTATGGAAAATATTTTAAATTCACAAAGTTGCAAAAATAAAACAGTACAAAGAACACCTATATATTTTATCTAGATTCCCTGTTAACATTTTACCTCATTTGCTTCAGCGTTTGTGACCTGTCCCTATCTAAACAAAATTATGCATGTGTATGTACATACATGATTTATAGGTTGTAGATATAAGTGACATATACATGCTGTATCTGTAGATACATAAAGTATGTGCATATACACATAATTCATATATATATATGTATGTATTTATATACACGGATAGAGTGATACGTGCTTTGCCATCCTTATTTTGTGTCGGCGACCTAACACGCTCCCTAGCAGCATCCCCTCCTGTAGAGGAGCAAGTCTAGGTCAGCTGTTAGATTTGGGTCTTTTTAGTCTTTTAATCTGAAATACTTCCACAGCCTTTTCTCGTGTTTTACAACGTTAACATTTTTTTTTTTTTTAAAAAAACAGCCGTTAATGGATTGCTCCTCATCTCGTGTCGGTTTGCTGTTTTCTCGTGATTAGATTAAGGCCGTGCCTTCTTGACCAGAATACGGCCTTGGTGGTGTTTGTCCCTCTAAGAGGTTACATCTGGAAGAACATGATGTCCATCTGTCCCTCACTGATGTCAAGATTTCTCTTGTGTATGGTCTTTTTCTCTGCAAATGATACGCAGTCTTTACGGGGACGCTGTAAAACCGTACAGCTGCTCTGTGCCCGTTTACAGTGGGTGATTCTCGCATGATCTTCGCGCTCCCTTGATGCCTGCGGAGCGATGGTTTGCTGGTTCTGGGGCCCCATCCCCGTTTCCCGTGGGCCCCGGCACACTGCGCTAACAAAGAGCTCCTTCCCATCCCATGGGCTTGTCTATGTGCTGTCAGTATAAATTGGGGAATTCATTTTTTCAGTAGGTTTTAATTACTTAACTATATTGCTTAAATTGTCCCAGATTTGGCTGGTGGGAGCCCCTGCAAGCTGGCTCCTAGTCCTTGTGTCATGCTCCCATCATTCTTTACGCTCTTGCTAACTTTCCAGTCTAACAGTATAGGGCAGGTGCATCTTGTGACCCGTCGGCCGATCCCTGGAGTTAGCTGTTTTCCTGAGGAGCCTTTTCAGGAGGATGCTGTTAGAAACCAAGATCTGCATGTGAAGTGGGCTTGTTATGGAGATGTCTTTGCTTCGTGGCCTTTTCAGTGGATAGAGCAGAAAATCTACGTATCGTGTGTGTGCATGCACATACATGCAGATGTACATATTCATACATATAATTAAAACATGTACACAGAAACACAGATTTGATGTCTTTCTAAACATTTTAAAATCTTCAGTTTTGTAATGTAGCGAACTGGGAATACATTTGATGTGGTTACACATTTGATGTTCAGGCGGATATGGTTATACATTTGATCAGGCAGATTTTAAGTGTTGTACTCATAAAAAGAGCATGTGAAGTGGAGTAGTTGCATTTATTATGTATATGGAACGTCCTCTGGCCTTCCTTAGTTTTAAGTTTTAAATACTGAACTGATAATACTGGTATAATTTATGTGTTTCACAGTTAGGATTTGGGTCCTTGATATAGTTCCAAGTATAGTTTTTTGTTTAACTTAATACAGTTGTCCTCTTTTTTTAACGATAGGAAAGAATGGTACTGAATAAATTTGAGTCTATTATAAATGTTATTTTAATATATGTAGGAATTATTTTCTTTTATAAGATACACTCACTTGAAGTAGTTAAAAAGGAGCAGAGTTTGAATCCTACCTCTCATGGAGAATCTTGTCATGATTCTTCACTATAGAAGTTTGTAATTTAAAGATCTGTGATGAAGAAATATCACTTACATATGAAAGTGGTGTAAGATCTCAGGATCCTTAGAGGGCATCATCGTTAAGTTCCTCCCTAAAGTACTGTGCCCCACGGGACATGTGGTGAGCCAGGCCCTGGCCGTGTCCAGAGAGGAGTTCATTCTCTCCCCGAGGAACACATGCTGTCTTCAGCTGCACCACTGATCTCATGATGTTAGGCCCCTGGCTTGATCTCAGGGTCTGAAATTGGCGGAGGGAAAGAAGTGGAATTATTTAAGGTTTAATATGTGTTAGATCAGCTTCTTATGTGAATCATTTTTCCTTTAGAACAGTGTGTTTTTTTTTTTTTTTTAAGATTTATCTGATAGAGCGAGCGAGTGCGTGAGTGGGGGAGGAGCAGGGGGAGAGGGAGACAGAGAATCTGAAGCAGACTCCGTGCTGAGCACAGAGCCAGACACAGGGCTTGATCCCAGGACCCCGAGATCATGACCTGAGCCGAATTTAAGAGCCGGCCGCTCAACCGACTGAGCCACCCAGGCACCCCAAGAACAGTGTTAAATTATGATTTCCAAAGTTAACTATTCTGTGGGTTAGTTGTGATGCCTGCTAATTAACTGGGCACACTGTTGCATTTTCTTCCAGTTTTGTTTGGCTATGCCACCACAGTCATCCCCAGGGTGTATACATACTATGTTTCAACTGCATTATTTGCCATTTTTGGCATTAGAATGCTCCGAGAAGGCTTAAAGATGAGTCCAGATGAAGGTCAAGAGGAACTGGAAGAAGTTCAAGCGGAATTAAAGAAAAAAGATGAAGAAGTAAGTCATGGCAGGTATTAAATATCTGGACCAAAAAAGCACTCAACTAAGAATCAACACTACGCATAGGTTCTTCGGTGGTCATCCCTATCCGTGTGAGATGTGTGGGCCACACAAGAATAGCTTGTTGTGCCTGGTTTGCATTCTTAGAGCTGTCTGTGATCAGACTCTGGGTGAGTGGGAATGTGGTAGGCAGGGACGCTGGGCAGAATGCTGGCCTCACGTGATCGGGCTCCTCAGTGATTATAAGTTCCCGCAAAGCAGGAACTGTACTTTGTATTTTACGTTTCTTGCCACAGCATTTAGGACAGTAAGGGAGCAGTAAAGACTGATTTTGTTGCGGAGGAATGGAAGAATTGAGAATATAGTGTTTGTTGTGTGAGAGTGGTTCAAAAGAAAAGTTTGGGGTCACATAATTTTAGTTTCAGCATATTCCATAAAATTTAAACACTTTCTCAAGGAAAGGTTAAGTAATTTTGATACTATTTTGATTTGCTTCTTGGGCTTAATGTCTCTCTCTTTCTCTCCCTTTTTTTAAAAATTTAGTTTCAAAGAACCAAACTCTTAAATGGACCAGGAGATGTTGAAACGGGTGCAAGCACGACGCTACCTCAGAAAAGATGGCTGCATTTTATCTCACCCATCTTTGTTCAGGCCCTTACATTGACATTCTTAGCAGAATGGGGTGATCGCTCACAACTAACTACAATTGTTTTGGCAGCTAGAGAGGTGAGTGATACTTGAGAAACAGCTGCTTCTGTATTAATAGTAAAACTAAGCGTAACAATGTTACTTTGTTCCAGAGGACCCTGGACAGTCCGTCTGGGCCAAGGGACTGCTTCACATGGACTATTTTAGACCTAATAATCCTGATTCTCTTTAAAATGGCCCATCTCCAGCTTCTGTAGTCAGATGGCATTCTGTGTCCCAACTGAATTGGCGTCTTTAGATTTCTCTTGTTGCTCCTCTTCACTTCAGTTTTGCCAAAACGATACCGTGGCAGTTGTCTTTGACTTGGTTTTGTCTTTCCTTAGAACCTTAGTGTTGCGGGGGGATACTTTACAAAATAACATTCAGTGGAAAATAAACAGCCTAACTGTCCAGTGTGGAGAAATTAGTTCATTTATTTACAAATTTCTGTTTAGCCCTGGAATACTCGCTCCTCCGCAAACATAAGACTTTAGGAAATTGAAACATTCACAGTGCTTATCTCTGGGTAGTGCAATTACAGTTGACCTGCTTCTGGATATACAGTTTCACTGATCTTAGTCCCTGAATACTAAGGCCTAGAACAGTAAGCTAGAAGAGATTTCTGATCACTTTGCACCTTTGCTCTAAAGATACAGAACCTGAGGTGCAGACACTGGGCGACTTGTCCAAAGATAAGCTAGTTGGTAGCAGGGGCAAGGACTAGAAGCTGAGGCTCTCTGCCTTCTCGCATTTTCTTCTATATCTTGTTTGTAGTTGCCAAATGCCACTTAATTTAAAAGATAAATTGGGGGGGGTGTTTTTAAAATTTTCATCTTTCTTTTGGGAGGAATTAGTTTCACATGAGGTGTCTTAACGTTCACATGGGCTTATTACGATTTACTGAGGAGATGGTTGTGGAAAGCAGTGCTGCAGCAACTTTTCAGGCTCTCCTTGATCTTAGCTGATACCATGTCTTTTTTATAGCTGTTAAATTGCACTGATTTTATCCAGTGGTAGGATTTAGAGAACAAGCTTGAGTTGAATGTGTCTTTGGCTCCTAAGGAGACAAGTTCCTTAACGTAGACCCCAGTTTGAAACAAGAGTTGAAGGCCAGGACGGGGCTGTTTCATCAGAGAAACATCAAAAATGCTGTATTAATAAAAAAAGTAGAACTCCATTTTTCACTCGAGTCCTGTATTTTAAAACTTTCTTGGAAAATGTCACCGTAATGGCTGTGCCTTGTATTTTTCTTGATTTCTAGCCTTCTTTATTGGCTTTCAGATTGCCAGGATTGGGACTTGAAAGTAAGCGACCTTTTGGTGGTGGTGGTGGTGATGGTGGGGGTGGTTCTGCCAGAGTGAGCTGTTATGACAGTAGAAATGGCTGCATTTTCCTTAATAGCGTCATCTGTATGGCACAGAGTGACTTGGGAAAGGTCCGGGTCCGCTGTCCCCATGCGCTCCCTTGGTGCCGCTGCATTCTGGCAGCATGGCGTGTGCTGACCAGGCTCGAGTCTAATGTGTGACCAGATTACTGCACCGTTTCGTCTGAAGATGGGGCGTTTAGCTACTTCATGGGGTGGTTGTGTAGATGAAGCAGAGAATGTGCATAGGTCCCCCCTCCTCCCCCAGCACCATTAGCCACTTGCCCTGCTACCAGCACCGTGGGGATGGTAGTGAGCTCTTCAGGGGCAGAAATAGGGGTGGTCTGTTTTTGTTCCCTTAATGTTCCTAACTGTTTTTGGTAATTTTTTATATAAACCATGCTGGAGTGCAGTTCAGTTTATTTTAGTCTGAACTTTATTTCTGCTTCCAACACTGTGTCCTTTGAAGATGTTAATTAGGTACTAAGCAAAAAAAAAAAAAAAAAGGTGGGGGATGAGGTTCCAGGGTCAAATAAATTTTGCAAATAACAAAGACTGAAAACTTCTGTCTTAAAGGAACTATTTAATTGTACTTGACCCAGTGATTTTTGAAGCGTCACTTTCCAGTAGAATGGCCCCATCTCCCAGGATGCCAGCTTGGAAGTGAGAACTCGCAGAGTCTGAGCGGTACAGTCCCACCCCACCCCTTCACAGAGCAGCAGGGTCCGCCTCTCCTCCTTGCCCCCCCCCCCAGTGGCAGTGCTGTCCCTGCTGCATTCCGCGTCCCCACTTGGTCGCTTACATCTTTGTCTTTCTCCCAGCACGATTTTGTGAGCATTTTCGCATGCATGAGTTTTCCACACCTAAGAGTTTTCTCCCTTCCCTCAATCCCACTTCTCTTCCAGGCACCACCCTCTGCCTCCCCTACCCCCCCTCCCCCATCTCAAGGGCCTTGGCTCTGATGGGGAACGGAGTTGGTCCATTTTCTTGCTCTCTACACCCGCTGGCCCTAGTTTCTGGCCTCGCCGGAACTGCTGATGTGGGGCTGTGAGTTTCCCGCGGCCACCGACTGGCTCCACGGTGCTCATCTCAGGGGGCTCCTCGCCTGGCCGCCTCCGCCGCCTTCTCGGGGGGCTCCTCTGCCTCTGTCATCCCTTCGGTGTTGCTTTCCTCCATCTGCATTTTCTCTCAGGGTCATTCTCTTCAGTCCCACAGTTTACTCACCACTGAACTCAGCTGACTCCTGAACTTGTCCACTTTCAACTCCTGTCAGCACCCATAAACCCTTTCTTCACTCCTTCTACTAACAAAAATTTTTAAGTCATGTTGGTATTATTATAATTCATCCAGAGAATTATGGGTGAGAAATACGGCTGTCATGCCTGATTTTTCTCTTAACACCTAACGCTTGAACTTGTCACTAAGGTATATCAATTATGCCTCCTTAATTGCCCAAATCTACCTGCTTTTCTCTGCTTCCAGTCTCCCACCCCAGTCCAGGCAATAGCTTCTGTCATTGACCACCTTGCCTTTAATTTTGTTCCCTTCCAGTTCATTCTCTGCACTAGACTTTTAAAGCATAAACCTGTTGTGTGACTCTCCAGCTAAAAACCAGCCAGTGTCTTATAGTCTAAATTCTAAGCTTATAGTTAGGGTCCTTAATGAGCTGACCTCTACCAGGTTATGTTTTATGTTCTATGTTAACATAGTCTGTAGTTGTCTCTTATTGGTGGCCTGCTGCCTTCTAGTATGTTCTCTCCTCCACAAAACGAAGTCCAATCTTCCTGCCCGTTCTTCAGGGCTTTCTTTTCTGGAAAACTTTCACTGGTCTTCCCAATCTGAGCACCTCCACTTTGTGCTGGTAGCAAGCATTTACCGAATGAATACTATGTTCCTGGCGCTGAGTTAAAGCACCGAGGACACAGTGGAGAAGAAGGAAGGCAGGATCTGTAGAGTCAAGGCTAAGGCTTGCCTCGTTGGCCCAGAATAGCAGGCACTACCCGAGGGAAGAGATGTCTAGGTGGAGCCTCAAAAGCACTTGTCACTTGAGAGCTAAGTATCACCTGTGAATGAAGCGTGACAACTGCTGAAAGGCTATATGAGGGTTATTTTGATCTTAGAAATGTTTCTGCTACTTTTAGCTCTGTTCCTAGATATAACTGGAGCATATTCCTTCAAGCCACTATTACACTTTTCATAAATTATACACTTGAATTTTTAGAACTGTTTTAGGCTTTGTTGTTGATCTCCATTTTCAGTGACTAACAGTTCTCAGGTAACTGTTTCAACTGCTTTTATTTTTTTTTAAGATTTTATTTATTTATTTGAGAAAGAGAATGAGATAGAGGATGAGAGGGGGGAGGGTCCGAGGGAGAAGCAGACTCACTGCTGAGCAGGGAGCCCGATGTGGGACTTGATCCCGGGACTCCAGGATCATGACCTGAGCCGAAGGCAGTCACTTAACCAACTGAGCCACCCAGGTGCCCTCAACTGCTTTTAAATTAACGTTAGCTGTGCTTACTTCCAGGACCCGTATGGTGTAGCAGTGGGTGGGACAGTGGGCCACTGCCTATGCACCGGATTGGCAGTGATTGGAGGAAGAATGATCGCACAAAAAATCTCTGTCAGAACTGGTAAGTCTTTGGTTTTTTATTTTCTTTTTTTAAGTTTCGTTATTATTTCTTTTTAAGTAGACTCCACACCCAGCATGGAGCCCAAGTCAGGGCTTGAACTCACCCTGAGATCAAGAGGTGAGCTGAGTTCAAGAATCAGATGCTTAACTGACGGAGCCATCCAGGCACCCCTTTTATTTTTTAAATTACAAAGAAAATACCATTTGTTTCAACTTCTAGAATTACTAAGAGATTAGAGAAAGGGGACTTCATTCTAAGTTTTTACTTCTGGAGTACACTCGGTCTCTGCAATGATGTCTGAAGAGGTCTAGTTCATTGCCACTGCTATTGCAAACGTGGACTGATTTCACATGCATAGATGTTAGTAAAATACAAATTCATCTAAAAGCCTTGCCGGATTTATAGTTGCCTTTTATCAGTGTAGTTAAGTAAAAAACAATCATGTTGGAAATAAAATTTCTGGCCTTAAAAGTGTGTTTTGTAAGATGGGGATCTGTAGGTGGAGACCATTTATGGATGCCACTGAAAATTTCCTGTGTAGCTGGGAGGGCCTAAAAATGGAATAAAAAAAGTCTCTGCTTGTCAGAGGCTGTTGAACATTCTTTTTTAATAACTGGGTTTTAAGAGGAGTTACAGTTCTATTGTTGCTTGTCAGCACTGTGTCAATTTTAATTCTGTCATTGCTTGAAACAGCGCTGGAGAAGCAATGGATTATTACTGTACAGTCAAGCGTATTAAGTATTCTTTGCTGTGGAAGAGGGGTTTTGAGTGTTTCTAATTTCTTTTCAAGGTTAGTTCACCAGATTGGAAGAATAATGGGCAACCTCTTAGCTCCCTCATAGAGGAAGTTTGCCTTATTTCACTTTTTTTCTCTTCTCTTACAGTGACAATCATAGGAGGCATCGTATTTTTGGCGTTTGCATTTTCTGCACTGTTCATAAGTCCCGATTCTGGTTTTTAACAAGCCGTTTGCTCATTTGTATTTTGTTAAGATAGGTAACTCTTATGTTTATATATATAGTGTACATTATAACTAAAAGTGACAGAAAAGACTGTATTTTGTAGCATTGATTTGCGAGTTGTCCAAAAGAAATAATCATTGATTTTTTTTCAACATGGATTTTTCAAAGAAACCTGATATCCAAGTGTGGGTTTTTCTTTTCTCCAGCACAATTATGTTAATATGATCGCTGTTTCTTTTCTTTTAGTATTTGTGGGGGTTTTTTGGTGGGAGAGGGTATATACATAGAACCATTGTACAGTGGGGTCTAGCCTTGATTTTCTTTCAGCACTGACCTCTTTAATGAGGAAGATATATTTTCTCCTGTATCACTGAGTGTTTTAAGATATTTGCCTTAAAATTTTTCTTGGGGGAGGAATGAATTTTTAGCTTTTAAAATATTAAGCCAGAAAGCAGTGTAATCACAAGTCAAAATTTAAAAAAAATTTTTTTTTAAAGAATAATTATTACTGTTATGACGAGAATTGTTTGCCAGGTCCACTCTCTCCCCTTTTTTTTTTTTTAAATTGGGTAAGAAACCCAATATAAAAACAGTCAATATTTGACAATGTGGAATTACTAAATTAAAAGAATACTGAGTGTATTCATATTTTTTCTATATTGAATAAACCATGTAACATACAGTGTAAATAAAAGTGGTATGACCAGGGTTTGTTTTCCCTTGTGCATTTTGTGAGTTTGTAACAGTAATTTATCAAAGTAGTATTAATATTTATAGACCAGTTTCTAAAGTTGATGTTAAAAAATAGGAGCCAGGCATCTTCTAAAGCCTGTCTTATTTTAACCCTCAGACAGCTCTGGGACAGAGTAGGTACTAACAAGGTTTAAAAAAAAAGTTGTATGGTAGAGCAGTGCGTCAAACCACACAGTTTGATTCTAGAACCCATAACCACCGATCATGATAAGGCTACCTCATTTTATCACACTAACTTCAATAATCACAGTCCTGTCAGTCTATTCTATTTATTCTTTCCAAACAGCATCACCGCTTCTCCCAGCCTGCTATGTTCTGTTCCCACGTGCAGTAACTCTGCTTTTTAATAGTCTCTTAAAAGTAGCAATAGCACATATTGATGAAAAAGTCATTTTTGGAAACTTTTAAAGAGTTCTGTAGCCACCATAACAAGTGCAGTTACAGGGCAGTAAATACAATGCCCACGTGTGAAAATAAAACACTTTAGAGAAATTTCAGGCTAAGACCCCAGACTATACCATTACTCCCCTAATATAGAGCCAACAAGTAATTACATCTTTTGCAAGAACAGACAGGATAATTCCTTGTTACGAAAGTAGCTGGTCCCATCACAGTCCGGACTCAGCAATGCAGACAGCCTGGCCCAAAAATGAGCTGATACTTGAATAACAGCATAGCTTTCTGAGGCACCACAATCTTGTATCAGGACAGAACTACTCACAGAATTTGGTAGCTCAGACTTGAAGCTACAAGGTAAAAACTGCTAATACTGTTAGACTCCATTGCTGAATAAAAGAAAAGAAAATGTCATTGTTACTGATTTTAAAATATTTAATAGTCTTCCTTTAAAATCCAAAATAATGTGATTCTTACAAGTTATGTGCCACATAAAGCAGGTGTTATTTTGAGAAATGCAGGTGATACGGAAAAACATAGCACTGAGGTATTTTTTTTATTTTTAAAATTGAGTAAGGAAACAAAGTCTGGATCTAATTTTACATTTACAAAAAAAAAAAACCACTAATGCTACTGCTTGGCTCTTTTGCTATGATTTTAGGTTCTGAATACAATTACAAAAGTCTATGGGAAAGAGCATTATAATTATAGTACATATAGTTTTAAAAAACTGTGCACATAACCTGGAGAAATGATCATACACCAAGATGCCTGGGTGGAGGTAGGCTAATAAAACATTTTACCTCTTCTCAAAGGACAGCTCTGAAAAACAAGTGTAACCAATTGTAACACCAAACTGAAATGGCAATCAATAGTTAAGTTGGTAACATGATCCACATTTTATATAATATTGTACTTCCAAACATAGCTCATAAAAATCATCAGAGAACCTAATGTAGCACCATGGAAACCATTCATTATCCCCTTGTGCTTCTGTGCAATTTAGGATTTGGGCAGAAGAGAATACCTAGAAAATATCAGTCTCATTTTTGTCAATCAGTTTGGATTTCAGTTAAATGTTTGCTTTAGGAAAAGTAGGTATTCTTAAGATCTGTTAGCCATTTATAGCTCTACCCTTTTGGAAGTGAAGAACAACAGGCTACATCTAATTTTTACTTGAAACCAAGAGCCAAGCAGTAAGGACAGCAATGTCAAGAGTAGCACACCAAGAAACCACACAGAACATTAGGAAGAATTTGGTGTATGTTTTTACAGCTAATAACTGATGTTAACATAAATTTACAAAGATAAAACTTTTTTTGCACTAACTGGTTTCAATACAGCACTGAATGTGACTCATCTTTGGGCTTCAATCTCTACATAGAGTGAATGTGCAAGTGCCATACGGAGGCCCTTCCCCAGCTTACGCCATAAAAGAGATTTCAAAATTATTCCAGAATGGTCTAAGAATTACAGCTGTTCTGGCTGACATGAAGAAAAAAAAAAAGACATTTCCTGGCCAACTGGTTTTGCTTGATTGTCTAGTTACATAATGCGTCAGTCTAAGGATAATCTAGCTTTCCCTCCATTCTTCAGCACTGGAGCAACCATTGCCAGCAGTGAATCTGCACCGGTAGAGACCAACTCAAAACACACATACAATATCTGAATGTCATTTTTAAAGCGATGTCACAGTTTGTTTCCTCAGAAATTTAAAAGCATACATTTGAAAACACATTTTCAATGTAACCCTCAGAGTTAAACACTTTTTACAAAAATCCAACTTGTGGTTGACTTGCTTTCATTACCATTCTTGAAGGGGTCCCAAAAGCTAGACAGTGTGCCCTGCCCCTAGCCTGTGGGACTCAGGAGCCACTCGGGGAGCCCTAACATGGAGAATTGTGTTCCAATGCATACTAGGTAAGAAATAGCCTCCGAATTTCTAGGCTTCAAATGCTCAAACACTACTTCCAGTGGATAGTGCTGTGTATGAAGGATTTTTGTTTTTAAAGGACCAAGCAACAGTCACTATATAAAAACGGCCAACATTTTTTGTTAGAAGAATACAGTGCACATACATTGTTCCACCTATATTTAAGGACTTTAAATGGATTGTAATATGGATATGATCGTGATGTCCATTAGAAGATGCTGATCATCTTACTAACATTTCCCCAAATGGGCAAAACACAGGCACCGTGTGCCATCGGTTGTATCATACTGGCCTTTGGCTGCGTTGGGGAAGTAATCATATAAAAAGTACCCATAAAATAGAAAAGGCAGCAAGTGAAACTAGAAAAAGGTTGGAACTATACAAAGCAGATTCGGAAGGAGTTACCTTTATTCTTTCTTAATTGAGTTGAGAACAGGCGGGAAGTGCAAGGGCATCTGGCTTTGGGCCCTCCACTGCCGTCCTTAAGTAACACAGATTTGGATTGGCCCGGGGAGAGTCCTCGTGAGGGCCCGAGACTGCGCCCCAGATAAGAAGAGTCAGTTCTTTACATAAAAGATTACGAAGCAAAACAAAACACAACCACAAATTAAATACATGACACTGTGAAATCACTTTGATGAGAAAACAACACAAAGATATTTTAAAATATAAATAAATACATTTAGCCATTTTCATTCAAGAAACCCAGAGAACTGCTTTCAAAGCAATTGCGTCTTTAAAGTCACTTTCTAAATTCTTCCATAAATACTCACTATTTTGATTGTCACTTAATGCAGCACCTCAGTGTTTGCTGGTGGTGGTGATGGAATTCCACTTAAACAGTCTCTTCATAAACTATATCCTATTTCACAAAAGACCGTTTCCCTAGGAAAACCCAGTCAGCTTACAAAATATTGTTAAATACTCAAAAGCAGAACCTGCAAAGTATTATTTTATTTACGAAAAACAAGGAATGTAGTGTTAAATTACGACAAGGGGGGAAATATGCAAAAACAGTCACATGGAAAGAAAGTTTTAATTTTTAAATGTCCACGTTTGCTTAATTTCTTGTGAACTGTTCAATACTGCTTTAAATATCCTGAATTAATAACTATACCAACAAAATGCATCCCCAGTGTTTCCACAGGAGACATTTAAAATAAGACCAAATTATACTTTTCTTCAACCAAAGTAGTCTTTCTCAGTCCTTTTTGTGCAAAAATATTACAAGAGCAATTCAAATGGAAACGCTGAAATGACATGCCAACATTTCAGAGCACATTTAAAACACCCAGAATAAGTCTTGAAATTTTTATCGTATTCTAAAATATTACTACCAATCACTTTTAGGTTAGTTCTATACATCTATTCACACTGATGCAATTTTCCTAGACCTCTGAAAATAAACAGGCTCATTGGTCTCTTTTGGTGTCCACACAATAGGCAAGATAGGTTTACAATAGTGTCGAAATGGAACTAGGCATCTACAATCTCCTGACTCCAGCACATTCAAAACCAAAGTCAAAATTCATTTGGCTACCTTGAAATCACTCCCATAAACCTGCTACGGTTCACTGGATCTAAACATTTCTCAGAAATGCGTCATTTTTAAATTTCACCTAAGTGATGATTTGGGGATCCTTTAGAAATGGTAATGCCTAAGATAATAAACTTTATCAAAATGAAGAGTTGCAATAAAGTGCTTGTTACATTTCAAAATGATGCTTTCAGACTGGTGCGTTATTTGAAGAGCGTGTGCTCGTCCTACAGAAAGGATCCCCGGGCGTGAGAGCTGGGTCCTCTCACCTGTCTCAGGAAGCAGCACTATCTTTTGGTAGGCTGGCAATAGGCACGTTACCCATGCGGATGAGGCTCTACTAGTGCTATGGCAAAAGGGGGAGTAAATTAGAAAAGTGGGAGGCATGTGGAGGGTTCCTACATATTCATAGTTATATACAAATATATTAAATATGCTATAAAAATAGTCGACTCTTTTCCTTTGCATTTATTTCAGAAGCTCCTTTCAGAGGAATGCTCACCCAACCCAAACAAACTTAAAAGGGTCTCTCTCTCCAATTGCTAGTAAAATGGCAAGTGCCTTTGTGCTGTTTCTTTTCCACCATTTGGAAACTCCAATCCACTTACTCCTGGCTAGACTCACTCAGCAATAGTAATATCCAGTGTTTATACCTTCTGACATCGATTCCCAAGGGACAAAGAGTAGGGTCACAGATACTGGAAAGGTTATAGACTTGAATGAGTTTTACACAAATGTTCACCAACAAACTTTCAATCAGCAAAGAACCAGAGAAAAAGAAAAGGAGAAATGAGCAATACTAGAGTAAAATGCTATTTGCATTCCACCTGGAAAAAAAAAAAAAGGTTTACCTCACTGTAGTGGAAACATCAGAAAACAAGTTGAGTAATACCCAGTTTAAAATAATTTTCACCTGTGTGGAGCCAGAGAAAGAGTACTATTTGAAGGGGCCCCTTTCTAAGGCTTCTTGAACAAAGATTCCCCTCCCTTCAGCACAATGCCCTGCATGGGGGCTGCACTCCTCCACACCCTGAACTAACTGCAAGCAGACTGCTTTAAGGCAATGACCAAAAACTCTAGTGCTTCGGAAAAATCCAAATCACATTTTCACTATTCTGCACTGACTATTCTATAACCAACTATTCAAAGTCACTGGCATCCTCTTATTTCTAGTACATTCCTAAACCAAATTTAAGTGACAAAGCAGAGCATGGGACGCAAATGACCCCCTCAGCTTGGGACAGAGTTTGGAGACTGAAAGGTAGTATTTGCTCACGTACGATCCCCATCCCTCATACTTGCTTTTTCTCCAATATATTCTACCCAAAAAATCGGAGTAACTTTTGAGTGTCTGGGTTCTGGTTTGACACCACTCTTAGCAGCAATTTGATTGATCCTCGCAGTCCTCACTTGAGTTGTCCAAAGCAGGGTGACTGCAGAGCAGCTAACATTTCCCCATGGCTTCAACAGTTTCTTACCTAAAAAGTGCCACCCAGAATAAGATGTTTTCAAGAAAAATCGAATCTCTATGAGAGTAAAGCAGAGGGAAGAAGATAATGACTTTTAAGTAGCTGAAAGGTGTCTCTATTTGGTATTTTTTCATTACGCAGATTTGGGATTTTAAGGAACAACTTTGGCTACAGAAATGAAGAACAGGCGACTGCCGAATCTTCATCAGAACGCTCAAGTCTCGATGGGGGGGCGGGCAGGGGAAGGGAAGGGAAGGGACAGCTGTGCAACCCAAGTTCAAGGAAAGCACGAGGAAAACAGAAGGAGCTAAGGTGGCTGATGCTCACTAGCTCTTCGACAACACCTACTGACAGCAGAGGGAAAGCAGCTGGCTGTTCCTTTAAATTAGGCAATCCATTCTAAGGGCAAAAATGAGCTGTGAGGAACAAAAGGAATTCTAAAACATTTTATCTAATTCTCCTTCCCAAATATTGACAAGGATGGAAAATACTTGAAGGAACTGGTAGAGGAGAATGTGAATAGTTTACAGATTTACCTTGTGGCTTGTCTTATGCTTTGCCTTTGTTAACCTAAGTACACAGTACTCACAGTTGACCATCTTTCCGTGTAAGTATGGTTATTTAGAGGATAAATCTTAATATAACAGTTCTTCGTATCTTTTGCTACCCATACCACTAGATATTGCCAGTAAACAAATGAGGCACAACTCAGATATATATGGAATGGCATAAGGTTGAGAAAGGCAATTTGAAAGGGGAGAAAATTAATACTGTTGCCATATTCTACAGCATCAAGCTCGTCTATGTGTACCTATGCTCAAGTTACACACACACACTGACAACTATTCTTGACATTCATGACAAAGTCAGAAATCTCTTCATCCAGATCATTTAGCTAGAAGAGGAGCTTCTTGATATGTTAATTATTGATTGGTATCTAGTGACACTTCTTTTGTAGAAGGGTAGGTACCAACTTTCTTTGGTTATTTTCTTTTTCAATATAACTTTCTAATTTAAGTGTGGCCAAGTATAGTTGTCTATAGAAAGACAAAGTATTATCCGTTCGGGATGAGAGCAAAGTGGAGGACAGAAAAGTCTTAAGAACTGAGCTTAAGAGCAATTCTGTAGTAGGCTGTTTTCATTGCTCAAAACCTTCTTCTGTTTAACAGTTTGTTATACATTTTCTTTTAAGGTCAATTTTGATATATTACAGCTTGCTATCCTCCCTTTCCTCAGTAATAATTTTTGATATTCTAATAAGGTATTTCCATTAATTTTCCTTTGCTCTATAGTTGTAAATTTAATTAGTACCATAAAAATCTATAAAATGTTTTATGTAATTTCTGTTGGAATTTATTACCTTTAGAATCTAATATTGCCAAATTAAATTTTAGTTCATGTTCAGAAAGCATGTGAGTTACAATATTCTAGTGTTATAGTGAAGGCAAAGCCAATTCCTACCCTTTCTTTTTTCTTTGTAGGAATATCAAGATCATATTGAGAAAATATTTACAGGTAATTCTTAACTGACTGTTTAGCTTGAAAGGAAGATGTTGATTTAGGAAAACAATTTTGTGATCACATCAATGACTCTGATAGTGTTAGGATGTCACCTATTTTTCCCTAAGTTACTTGTACCTCTAGTCCAAGAGACTAAAAGCAGTCTTCCTGGGAACTTAGGAGAATCATAATGGCACTGACACCCACATGCTGTTAAAAATGTACTAAGGTTTCAAAACTGCTACTGAAACCAGACAATGAGCTCAAGATGGTGAGTTATCACCTGAATCAAAATCAAGGCACTATGGGTTTTTTTTTTCTCTCAAATAACCCTGAATCATTTCTGACTAAAAGAAGCATTGAAATTGTGAAGGATAATAAAAAGATTCCAACAAATCCTAAAAGTTAAAATTCCCACCAGTGAGAATGTTAAAAAGTGCCTAAAATCTTTTGTGTGCAAATTTTACTCCTATAACTGGAACATTCTTGAAATGACTTTCAGGCTTATTGAAAGCCGTTTACACAACTATTTCCAACTATGAACTATATCAAAATATGTGACCAAAACTTCCAACCATCTAAAATAAAGCAGTGCAAATCCTATTTTCAAACATAAATGAAAAATAATGAAATGAGGGATATTTCTGAGTAACTTGAAAATCCTGTTGCTTCAATAATTTAACCTGGAAAAAAATATCCATTCCCAGCAGCACATCATACCTCACTGAACAAACTGTGACATCACAGCCAAAGTATGAACAAAAAGCCTTGTGCCCCGGAAAAGTGAGTAGAACACCACCGTGTTGTAAACAAAAGGGGAAACAGAACGTACTAGTTTGCACATGGTGTCAATCTAAGGAAATACACCTAGGATAGATAATGCTTTCATGCAGCTTACAAAATGTTTTGCTTTCTCTCCTTTTATCCAGACATATACATAATTTTTTACAGCATCTGTACATAGAGAATTTGAACGACACAACATTCTGAAATTAATTACTATCCAATCATTATCTGAAAAGGGAGAGGGAATGGGGAAGGGGGCCTACTGGGTCTACCGGACCCTGTCTTCATGGCATCATTGTAAGCAACCCCTGACATGACAGTGGTGTGTCCTCTGTAACACTTGAAAACAGGCACAGAACCACTAAAAGTTACTAACATTGTTAGTGCCTTTCTGATTGACTGGAGGTCATGTTTCATAGCTGAGCTTCTTAACATTTGGCAATATACTCTTTCCATCAAAAAAATAGCTGGGCAAGTAAAACACTGTCAGAATTGGCTATGGCCCCGTGATCATCTCCTGATGGCTGGTATTTCACGTACATCTGTAGCACGAGGCAGCATTTTCCCTGCTAACTAATTCCAGAAACTACAACACTTAGCACTGCATCTTGTGAAACTGCTGGAACGTTTCCTTCTAGCCTCAGATCATCTGAGCAACTGCTATGGACAACCCCTACCTCCCCTGAGGTCAGAGAGGAGTCGTGTGTGCTACTGTGGTTGAACCTTGGAAGGATCAGTCAAACTGTCAGTCCTGGGCCGACTCAGCTGCTGCTGTTGCGGAGACGGGTGGTGCTGGTGATGTGACTGAGAGAAAGTGCTCTGTTGTAGTGGGAATGCAGCAGAGAGGATAAGCGGAGTTGAAGGATTCCCGTGGAGCAACCTTGAAGTCTAAAAGACAAATGCATTATGCAACACTGCTTTACCCCTGTTACACTGTCTACATCAAGATTTACTCAAGTTTTTACTCTGGGTAGGGACAGAATCCTTTGATTCCACATAATCTACATCATTTTTATCTTCTCATTTAAAAATAGTATTTTGGAAAATGCTTATGAAGTTTCCCTTCTTTTTGAAAATATAGCAGAATTTTTTTTATTTTTTAAGGAACCTGAGCTAGAGATTTCTTGGTATAGAAAGCAATCTATGTCTTGAGACAAACCACACGTACTCTTTCCTTTTACAGATCCTAAAGGCCACAATTTTAAACAGAGAGTAAAACGTAAGCATAGCTGAGAACACATGAAACACAAATACTCTGAAGTCAAACAGACAATGCCTCCTGCCCAGGCTCATTCCGTTGGGTAGAGCAGCACTTCAGTAGCCAAGAGCATGGGCCACTGGGTTCAAACTCTAGCTAAGCCATTTCCCAGACTGTGTGACTTGTTCCAACTATTTATTTCTCTGGGACTCAGTTTCTCCATCTACAAAATAAAGACAATCAAAGTGCCTCCACACTGGGTTTTTATGAAGATTAAATATTAACATTATTATTTAGAAGTACCACAAAAATGAGGGCAAAGCTAGAGACTTAAGTCCTATATATGTAGCAGTGTGGTGTAAAAAAACAAACCAAACCAAACAAGGGCACAGGATGTGAATCCAGAAGCCCAGAAGCCCTGGATTTGAGCTGTGCTTTGCCATTTACCACCTGTGTGACCCTGGGCAAGTCTCACTGTCATTGAGCCTGTTTCTTTCACCTGATTCCGATTTCTGGTGATACAAAGAAAGTGAATTTTTACAATGAATGTTCTTCCTCACTACTGACAACACAACTTGATGCAGGGCTCATAATCTAAACATGGGGCTGTGATAGCAGATCTTTGCAAACGTATAGAAAGGGCACACACACACACGCACCCACATAAACATACACACAAGGACAGATCCTTGAACCTTAAGCTTTGTCAAAGACCTGGAAAAACTTCTTTTTCTGTTACTTAGGAAAAGCTTTTGTAACATAAAGGACTCAGTATTTTTGTGAGCCTTAGGGGATTACAACAGAGGCATATTTTGGAACTAGATGTTATATAATCAGAAAAGCCAAACTGTATATTAACTAGCTACAAAGTGTATTTCTAAATGATACTGTCCATCTTCTTTCTTTAGGGGTCCCATGTCTGTGGAATTCTTTTTTCAGAAGTGAGGTTGAAGAGAGTGCTTGTTCTTTTAGGAGCCCTTGTTCCCTGATTTAGAAGATTAAGATCTTAAGGCAAGTTCTCTCCTTTTTTAAGGTTTTGCTCAATTCTCATTGAGTATTATAATGAGATAATAGTTTATAACCTATTATAAATTCTTATTATTAATTCATTTATAACAACAGCTAACCTAGTTGCAATACAGGCTTCAGGTCTAAGATGCTGTCAGTGGGACTCTCAAGAGGTATTTAGGCAACTAACCTGTTTTAGTTTTCCGTTATCACCAAGTTAAGAGCTCTGTTTGCACCAGAACACTAAGGGTGATAAGTTAATGATGTATTTATGCCTGAGTATACAGTCTAATACTGAATTTTTTTATTTTTTAAAGATTTTATGTATTCATTTGAGATAGAGAGAGAGAGCATGAGCAGGGGGAGAGGGAGAAGCAGGTTCCCTGCTGAGCCAGGAGCCCGATGTGGGGCTCCATCCCAGGACCCTGGGATCATGACCTGAGCTGAAGGCAGATGCTTAACCATATGAGCCACCCAGGCGCCCCTAACACTGAATTTTCTAATCATACCATCTGTTCTGTAACTCTTACAACTGATTATATGATATGTATGTGGCTGGCCTACATGGAATAGTCTCCAAATAAATCCAGGCTAGCCTGTATTCAAAAGTGCTCCCTGTAGGCCAGAAGGGAAAAAGCTGGATTTCCAGATGTCATAACCTGCTACTATGCACTCCAGTGAGGGTACTGAAGTCAAGAAATGTATCCTGCTGAATTCCTAGCTGAGGATCCCAACCTAGGTAACTTTCTTCTGTATCCTTTAGATAAGTAGATCCAGTTCTACTGAGATATGGGAGATATGTGATGAAATATGTGTCTGCATTCTGGCTAATCTGAGGGTTTACTCCATTAATCAAGACAGGGCTCATAAATGACAGCTAGTTCCGTGCCTTGTAACTATGTTCAGTGATTTACACACATTGTTTACCCATGAGGTATGAACTATTAGCACCTCCATATGAGAGATGAAGAAACTGAATTTTAGTAAGTAACCTGCCAAAGGTCACACAGTATGTGGTAGAGCAGTGACTTGATCTCAGGGCAGCCTGACTTTGGAGCCCATGCTCTCACTGATGACAATACACAGCCCACCACAGTAGTTCTCCTCTGACATTAACTTTTAACCAAACAATTATTATAAAATTTAATCCAACACAATAATTTAAGATAATGCCTATAACTAATTTGTCCAAAAATTCCTTTTGATACCCCTGCCCTGTAGGAGCGTGTGTTTGATGGGCTGCTGCAAGGAAGACAGGGTCTGAGTTCCAGAAACTCCAGTCAGAGAGAGCTCTATATAAAGTACCTTGCTGTAGACAGCAAGTAGCTACTTATTCTATCCAGTAGTTCAGATAACTGGGTATGTCAGTGGCAGAGCTAAAAGTCTTCCAAAGACCAAACAAGCGAAGAAAAACCAGCTAACCGGGACAAGCTTTCTGCCCTTCCAGAAATTTAACTTGCACAACAAGCTTTTATGGATTTTTTTTTTTTTTTGATGCCTAATTTCACTACATCAAAGGAAATGGGCTTGGGAGAGCTGCCCCTGGGGGAGAAGTACCTGCAGAAACTGCTGCGGTGGCTGGGTCAGCGAAGCCTGAGGCGGCTGCTGAACTGAAGTGAGCTGCTGTTCCCGGGAGCTCTGCGGCGGCCGCGTGACTGATGGTGCCTGGGACGGCTGCTGTTGCGGGGCAAAGGTAGGGTAGGCGGTCACCACCGGACCCATGAGCATTGTGCTAGGTACCATGACCGCCCCACAAGCTACAGGAGCAGTTACTAATTTGGTCACAAGTTGCTGACCTTGAGAAAATCTGTGAAGAGGAAAGAAAGAGAAGAAGGGGAGTCAGAGGTATAAGGTACACATTATAAAAGGCAATGGGCTGAACACTTCTCTAAGATAACACCCCCCAGTGATATTGCTGGTTTAGTTTTTAAAAGCTGTACGTTCCAATTCTGTTTCATGTTTCATGTTTTTAAAGATTCCTTCGGGAATACCAGTAAAACAAAAATGTATGTAGCAAAATGAAATGATCACAAACAAAAATATAAATTCTTTGGATATCCATATGCAAAAGAATGAAGTTGGACCTTTACCGTTCACCACATACAAAAATTAACTTGGAATGGATTCAAGCACTGAACATAAGAGCTACAACTATGAAACTCTTAGAAAAAAACAGGGAGAAACTTTCATGACACTGGATTGGGCAGTGATTTCTTGAAAATACAGGCAACTAAAGAAAAAACAGATAAACTGGACATCAAAATTAAAAACTTTGTATATAGGGGCGTCTGGGTGGCTCAGTCGTTAAGTGTCTGCCTTCAGCTCAGGTCATGATCCCAGGGTCCTGGGATCAAGTCCCGCATCGGGCTCCCTGCTCCACTGGAAGCCTGCTTTTCCCTCAGCCACTCCCCCTGCTTGTGTTCCTGCTCTCATTATCCCTCTCTCTGTCAGATAAATAAATAAAATCTTTAAAAAACAAACAAAAAACTGTTGTATATCAAAGGACACTATCAGCACAGGGAAAGAGAAACCCACAGAGTGAGAGAAATTATCTGCAAATATCTGATAAATTATATAAAACAATTCCATAACTCAACAATAAACAATCTGATTAAAAAATGGGCAAGGGTCTTAAATAGATGTTTTTCTAAAGAAGATATACAAATGGTCAATAAGCAAATGAAAAGATGCTCAACATCACCTATCATTAGGGAAATGCGGATCAGAACCACAATGAGATACCACATCACACCCATCAGGATGGCTATTATAAAAGAAACAGAAAGCAACTAGTGTTGGTGAAGATATGGAGAAATTGCAACATACACTGCTGGTGGGAATATTAAAATAGTGCAGCTACTATGGAAAATAGTAGGACTGTTCCTCAAAAAATTAAATACAGAATTACCATGATCCACCAATTCCATTTCTGGATATATACTCAAAAAAATTGAAAGCAGGATCTCAGATACTTGTACACTCATGTTCATAGCAGCATGATTCACAATAGCCAAAATATGGATGCAACTCAAATGTCCATCAATGAACGAATAAACTGGTGTATTCACACAATGTGAATGTGTGAAATGTGAAACTGGTGCACTCACACAATGAAGTATTATTCAGCCTTAAAAAGGAATAAAATTGGGGCACCTGGGTGTCTCAGTAGGTTAAGCATCTGACTCTTGATTTCGGCTCAGGTCATGATCTCAGGGTCCGGAGATCAAGCCCCACACTGGGCTCTGAACATGGAGCCTGCTTAAGATTCTCTCTCTCTCTCCCTCTGTCCCTCCCCACTCTCACTCTCTAAATGAATGAATGAATGAACGAATGAATGAATAAATACCTTAAAATAAAAGGAATAAAATTCTGACACATGCCACAACATGGACAAATCTTGAGAACACTGTGCCAAGTGAAATAAGCCAGTCACAAAAGACACACATATTATATAATTCCATTTGTATCTAGAGTATCTAGAGTAGTCAAATTCATAGACTTATGTGCTTAGAAAGCAGAATGGTGCCTTCCAGGACCTAGAGGGGAGGAGGAATGGGGGATTATTGTTCAAAAGGCATGGAGTTTCAGTTTGGGACTAAGAAAAAAGTTCTGGAGATTGATGGTAGTGATGGTCCCAACAGTACAAATGTACTCAATGTCAATGAAATGTACATGTTGAAATAGGTTTTAACATGGTAAATTTCATGTATATTTTACCACAGTGGAAAAAAAAAAGTTTTAAATCTGTTAAAAAAATCTTCTTTTTATAAAATTCTAGGTACTTGGGGAGTCAGCTAGATGTGGCATGTGTTCATTTTGCTAATCACGAATAAACTTAAAGCTATCATAAGGGATTTTTAAAAACCTCTCTAGGTTTACAAGAAGATACTTACACTGCAAGTTGTATCTTATAAACATAATTCAAAATTAAACGACCTTCTAGCAGTGAATAAAAGTACCCTCAATTTATAAATTCATCGATATAGCACAGTACCCACTGTGTTAGAATTCACTAATATTCGCTCCCTCCCCACCTTCCTTCTTCTATTTTAATAAAAAAAATAACAAAAAATGGTAACTGTTCAGGGAACAATATTATTTCTATTTGCCTTTTCTGTGAGATGAAGTTAGTTTCTAATATTGGCCATTACAGAGCTATGATTCCACTGTGACTGGATCACAGCTTATAAACTGTGTCAAGTACATAATGGTGTTAAAGTTAGGAGAAATGCACTTTATTATTTATATGGTCCATAAGACAAAGTAAATCTGTTTTTGAATCCACACCAAATCTTTAAAATAAAATACGCTATTTTATATACTTCAGGACTGAATGCATTATTTAATGCAAAAAATATGTATAAAAGAATTTAAAAATTCACATATGAAGAATAATGCCCAAAGAAAAGTAACATTTACAAAGTGGCTTGGGCACAGAAATACTAAATGCTCATTTCTCTGTAATCTTAAAAGAAACTGCCCCAACTGCTCACTGGTAAAATGTGATGAGAATACTTCATCCATCTCTGGCACTAAGAGACATTCTTCAATCTACTTAATGCTTAACTTTCATTTCTGTGACTTTGTATATACTATTCCCTTTGTTTAGAACACCCTTCTGAGACTCCCTGTCACATGAAAAAGTCTAGCTCTTTAAGACTCAGGCCAAGGACCTCCTCTGTGAAACCTGGCCTTGACTACACACCTCTCTTCACCCGTTTGCCTCAACCCATAAAACTGCTCACTTCCTTTTTTTAAAAACCTAGGAAGAAGTATTTATCATGCCAAATAATACTGATTTGTTTAACCTTCTATGGCTTATGAGTCTGATCATTCTCTTGGGACAAAGAATGTGCCATACTCATTTAAGTAGGCTCTCCAATATTTGCTGAAATATATATTTTCCCCTCAAAAAAAAAAAGAGGTCCACAAATAGTTGGTAAGTTGTATCCTCCAAAATGCACATCAGCATTCTAGATTAATGACGTCTTCCTCAGGTTTTAAAAGTAATCCTCTACATTTCTATGGAGCACATTCATAATACCTCCTTTTAGAATTCAGAGCGAAAAGTTGGACTTCACTTGAGGAACTGAGTTCCAAAGAGAAGCAATGAGTTCTCCATGCTCTCATTGCCTGTGATCCTGCAGCTTCTTTATTCTCTGGAAATTAATAGGATTTTAATAAAACCTACTAAGCAGTTTGATACAACAAAATTGTATTATAAAAGCAGTAGCCTACTTGTATTGCAGTAAAATAAGTAAAAACTAAAAAATTTTTAAAATAGAAATTTTAAGACCATATAGATCCTGTTGTTAAAAGCTTCCCAAAATATGAAATAATGACATTTCTTCAAAATATTTGTTTCTATGTCAGCTATTTGGACTGCCCACTAAAATAAGTCATAAATGGTTGTTTTTCTAGAATGGCCCACAAAAGTTTAGTGTACTATAAATTTAAGCACTTGAGTTCTGAAATCAGATACCTAGGCTTAAATTTAGAAACTACTCATCACCCCCTTAACTACCTATAAGCCCCTAACCAAATTACTATAAACTCACTCCTTTCTTATCTGGGAAATAAAAGACCCAACACATATTTAAAAAAAAAAAAAAAAAAAAATTAAAGAGATGGTGTATTTTGAGCACCTAGTACAGTACTCAACAAACTCAAGAAAGGTAAGCTACTTTTATTCCATAACCTATATAAACTATGGTAGTATAAACCTTAATCATGGTTACTGGATGAAAACTCATCAACATTTGTATTAAAACAAAGTTTCATAGTCATACAAAGCCTGTCATAAAACTCCTATAACAGTGTGCTATGGATATTGAATTCTGTAACATTTGGTAGAACATTTTTGGACAGGAATCCTTTTATTATAACGTCCTTAAACAATGGACATATTCTGCATTTTTCTTTTCCTATTTGAGAGAGAGAGAAAGAGAAAAAGAGCAAGAGAGAGCACGAGCAGGGAGGAGAGGGAGAAGCAAGCTCCCCACTGAGCAGGGAGCCCAATGTGGGGCTTGACCCCAGGACTCTAGGAGATCACGACCTCAGCCGAAGGCAGATGCTTAACCAACTGAGCCACCCAGACACCCTTCTGCATTTTTATTTCTAATTCAAGAATGCTGGCAGGAGTTAGCTACAAACTAAAATCATATTTAAAAAAAATCAAATTACTGTTTAATTAATCAATTTTTACAGCTTTGGAATGACTACTGAAATATGACAACCACCTGATCTGTCTGTCCTGAGTGAACGTAGTTACTGCAGCACTCTGGGTACTGTTCTGTGGCATGCTAGACGGAATCTGGACCATGCTTCCAGCTGCCGGCTGCGAGATCACCATAGTGTTATACAGTGGGGCTGTGAGAGTGCTCTGTGTCTGACTGGGAAGAGATGTTTGTTGACTGTGCCCACTCAGTACATTTTGTTGACTCTGCTAGAAAATAGAAGACATTACAGATGAATTAAATGAAAAAATTTTTTTTCAGGAAATATGCACCCACTATTCATCATTCTAACAATAGTTGACATGACCAAAAAAGAAGCAGGACATTACTCTGAGAGAAATCTAACTACAAAGGAAAAAGACTTGTAGTAATCGCGAAGGAATTAGTCTTCAATATATTGCTGGAAAATAAGCTATGAACTTTAGAACTTCTGTTAAATGCCCAAAGTGAGTGACTGACTTTAGACATCTTTATAGATTTCACTTGAAGTCTTGGGATTTACAGTCACCGATATATACCAATTACCTGCATCAAATTTCCTGGAATTTACATGAAATTTCCTAGAATACTGATTAAACTATCACTATCGTTAACAGTTTATTCTTCACATATAGTAACATGTTTCCTGGTCAGCCTCTTTTGTAAGTCAAACCTTTTCAACATACAGAAGTGGTCTGCATGTTCATTTTAAATGAACTGCAAAATTTTTAAATGTCGGGATACTGAAAGCATTTACATCAGCAATTTAACAATTTTGCACAAAATATTTTAATGGTCACCCTCAAAACTAAACTTCTGATTATTACTATTCAAGGTTAAAATATGGAATTATTTCAGATAGACCTTCATTTTTGTTTCTACAATAGTATACATTTCAATCACTCAACACTCCAGAGCCCACCGCACTTAATACCGTTACCTGACTTGATGTACTCTGTAAAGTCTGCTGTGGTATCATATGTTGAGTTGTGCCAATGTGTCCAGTATTCATTCCACTTTGAATTTGGTTAGTTTGAACGACCTGGCCCTGCATATTTATAGGTGTGAGTTGCTGGATGTTAGATGAATTTCCAGAAGAAAGTTGAACAGAACCAAAACTCAAACCAGGGGTTGACTGTTGTAAAAACATCTTTAAAAATAAAGATTACATTAAAATGAGCTTTGTAGATTAAAAATGAAGAAGAATGAGAGCAATTTAAAAAAAGAAAGCAAAAACAAGCACAAATTAAGTTTAAAAAGCAAATAACAGGATGGCTAAGTCGTTCTGAGTGAACAATTAGCAATAAATAATTACTGGATAAAATATAATTCTTATTTGTTCTTCCAGTCATCCTAACCTTATCATGTTTCCAACTGTCAGAAAAAGGGTGATAAAATTTCAAAACCTCTACTTGTTTGAATATTTTACATGTTGGGCATTGTTTGTTCTACCAGGTAGCATTACTCCAACTCAGTGCTACTCAAAGGTCTGTGGACTGGCAGTTCTGCATCACTCATTGTTTATAATGTATGGATTAGATAGAAGTAGCTCTTTTTTTTCACTTAAAGTTTCCCTTCTCCAAAATTTTAGTCTCTTCTGAGAGATACAATTTTAGTGGCCCCATCCACTGATCAAATAAGACTAATTCGAATCATATCTACTGGAAGTTTACTAAAACAATGATTGATGATTGATTTATAAACTCTGTACCTACATATACCTAAAAGTCTATAATAAAATACTGTATTATGGGTTTAAGTTTACTAAAAATTAGACTGCTGAAAGAGGACTCTAATCTGGAGAAACAAGGATGTTGATGGAAATACTCTTAGGAATGAATCAGACTGTAAATGCAATCATACTGAGTAGGTAATCAATGACTATTTACTGAACTAAATTGATGAAATGTTATCTCTTGCTTCTCATTTTTAATTAAGAAAAGTCAATTTTCCTAAGAAACCAAAATGTGAATGACATATTTTGCTTGTATTCAAATATAATATCTTACCTGCAGCCCTTGACCATGGACCATTTGAAGTTGTTCTTGAATTTTTCTTAGTTCTTCTTGTTGTCGATGAATATTTGCCTCTATCATCCGAGTCCGTTGCTCTAATTGGTCTTTTAGATGTTGCATGGCTCCTAATTGAGCTGAAAACTGAAACTGAAGTACCATGTATGGGAAAAGTGTAACATATTTTAGAATCACTTTACTCTTCATAATTGTGCAATGTGAAAAATAAGCAGTATATATCGTGAGCTAAGAATGTTATGCCAGTTTTCAATGTATTGCCTCTCAGCTCCTAATTCACCCACCTTTGCTTGGCCTTGTGCTACTGGAGCTGGACCCTATAAATATTTCTCCTTTGTCAGCAGACACAAACTTAGTCATGTCAGTAGATGGAGCTAGAGGGATACTGCAAAAGGAGGTGGCTTTCCAGCAAGTCTCACTGGCATCCTTATGGGAAGCTCCCCTGCAAATTTTGCTGGTACCCCAGCAGGTGGCTTCCTGCTCTCTAGCCCTGGTCTGTGGCACCTCAGCGAACCTCGCTCTCACCCAGTGGCTGTAGCCATACCAGCCCCAGTGGGAACTGAGCTTCAACCTGGCCTGGAGGAAGAAGAGTTTAGAAGGGTTGCGGGCGTTTTCCAAGTCATTCCTTCTTTGCATACTGTACTCTCCCTCTCACAGATAGTGGATGCTCTCTACATCCATTATCCCTGTATTATTTAGGATTCCCTGTTAATAACTTATTACCCCTATTTCAAATTTCTGATACAGCTTCTGACTTCTGACCAGATCTTGACTGATTACAAGTACACACTGGCATTCGAAGACCAGAGCTCAGTTGGTTAAGCCTGCAACTCTTGATTTTGGATCAGGTCATAGTCTCCAGGTCCTGAGATTGAACCCTGCATCAGGCTCTGCACTCAACACAAAGTCTGCTTGAGATTCTCTTTCTCCCTCTCCCTCTGCCCCACCCCTGCCCACTTGCTCTCTCTAAAATAAGTAACAACAACAAAAAGACCAGAGCTTATACTGTGGCTCTACCATTTCCTAGAACAAGTTACTTAATTTCTATCATTTAACAAATGAAAAAGTAGCCTGCTCCTAGAGTTATTCATATCAAATTCTGTCATCCTTAGAATGTCCTCTTTGTACACATCATTAGAAGGTTGCAAAAATCTAACAGATAACCATATTCTTACTCATATTTTCAACTGAAACTGTTCTCAGACAAGCATGAAATGTAGGCTTTTATAGACTAAGCAATTACGAATGAATAAATGCATACATGAATTAAAACAGTTATTCTACTTCCAGGATCTTCAATCTTATTTCATGGTTTCACTTGAGTCATAAACAGCTTCTATTTACTACTGCTTGAAATTTAGCCACACTTAGTGTTTCATTACTTAAGTGTATACATGCTCATTTAATTATTTCCATGAATATTTAGCACAGGATATAGTACAGCAGAAAGAATTCCAATTTATTGGAAATGTGTCTTAATCTTAAAACAGTCTCCTACAGGGGCGCCTGGGTAGCTCAATTACGCATCTGCCTTTGGCTCAGGTCAAGATTCCAGAATCCTGGGACTGAGCCCCACCCTGGGTTCCCTGCTCAGCAGGGAATCTGCTTTTCCCACTGTCTCTGCTCCTCCCTGCAACTCATAATCTCTCTCAAATAAATAAAATCTAAAAAAAAAAAAAAAAGTCTCCTATAGTGAACTGCATCTAAAAGTGAGCAATGCCCTCCCAAAAGCTTTTTTTCTCTATCTTCAAAAGTTTGTGTTGAGGATACTGAATATAACCTGTCAAAAAGTACAGAACTCTGACTTCTGAAGTTAACAATTATCAGATCATATATTAGATTACACTAAGTATGAGAAAACATTACAAATTTTGTACCTCAGCTTCCTCATGTCTTTAAAAAATATTCAAAATGTTGTATTTTATCCTAACAAAAGTTATTTATACCTTTGGGTAAACATTACATTGTCATCACTTAAAGGATTTCTATTAAACGCAAATAATAGATACAAACACAGAAGGCAGAATAACAGGAAATAAAATTATAGAACTAAGAGGCAAAGTATTTGGCTTTATCACTCAATGAAATATGAGATCTGAATACTAACATTTTTGACATAGTAGATATTAATTTCATGAAAATATCCCTTTAAAATGTTAATACTCATTCAGTATCTTGAGATTAGTGAACTAATAATTGAAAGTATGTCTAATATTTACATTAAAAAATCTGTTAACCTTCAGAACAAATGTTGATAAAAACTATTACAATTACAGGTAATATTTAAGCACCTTACATGGTCATTTGTTGCTGGAAGTAAAGATTATGATGTTTGGGTAATTTACAACATTGTCAATATATTTGTACAGGTATCACATAATGGCTAAAATTATATATGTATAATTTAAATAATAACCATATAAGACAAAAGTATTTTTAGAAAACCATTTTTACCTATTGTTAACTATCATTATTTGAAATACTGCTAAGTCAAGGTATATTGAACTAAACAAAACAGTCTGGATTATTTTTACCACTACTTAGTATTTTTTAATGTGTTTGAGGCACTGAATGAATGCAGAGTCATAAATTCCAAGCTGGGAAGTTATAATCAAAAGTAACTTAGTGTTACTTTTGTTAACACCTCTCCTTTCTCCTGCTAATGTCTATATTTAGGACTCAGCCCAAGCAACAGTTCTTCCAGAAAGTTTTCCTTCACTTAGGCTGAATTAGGGGTCCATCTAATCTGCTCACATATCAGCCTATAGACATTGAGCCTATATACCTTGAGCACAGACTATATAATACCACACTGTAGTTCCAGGTCATTCCTTCTAGATGTAAAAAAGTCTCATAGTTTACATGTATTTGTATTTCCGGCACCTGCAATAACTCAAGTTATCTCAATAAATGTCCCATATCTGAATGAATGAATATATGAATAAAATTACTATGATTCTTCCAATATTCACAGGAAGAACAAAAAGAAGAGCTATATTTCATCTTTAATAGCTTTCTGTCTGCAGTGTCTCTCAGTGGGGGTGTTATAGCATATAAACCGGGATAATTCTTTGTTGTGCAAAACTGTCATGCATCCTGAAAGACAACTAGCATCCCTGGCCCTTGCCTATTAAGGGCCAGTGATACTCCACAATCACTGACAATCAAAAATACCCCCAGACATTATAAATGCCAACAGGTGAGATTCACCGCACTAAAAGTATGTATTTTTAAAAATCTCTATTAGCTTAAAACAATTTATCGTTTTAAAATACTCAACTCAAACAAACAAACAAAAAATACCTGGGACATGCCTTGTGGAATTGGTAAATTTGCAGCTTGAGACATCGCTGGTTGTGTTAACAATTGACCAACAGACTGGGAATTTATGGACTAGGAAGCAAAATAAAAAATAACACTGGAGTGATGATTATCCCCAACCATAAGTACTTCCACCAGAAATTCCACCATGGTATCTTTATAACTGAACTACAATTTGCCTCATAACATTTTTAGCTATGCCTATTCCCTACTTATCCTTTTATCTTTGAAGTCATCTGCCACATTACCTTGCATGGGTTCTCAATAAAAGTTAAATGGACATAATTGAAAGTGATTGGTATTCGAAATTAGATATGAAATGGCTCTAAATTAATAACTTTCCTTAATTAAAAGAAGTATCTAACATTTTACCTGAAAAATAATTTCAGGTTTGGGAACTATTTCACAAAAAAGGAAAGATCTCGAGCATTATTTATCAACAGCTATTTTGATCTTTATAGAAAGGGGTAATGAATTAATGAATTTTTAAAGATTTACATGATTTTCCCCCCCTTTTAATAAATCTTTATTCAGAAGAAAAGTACCTAGATAAAGTTTACCTGACTACTAAATGATGCCCTCCTTGGCGCCATCTTTTCATGAGCTGGTAAATGTGGTCTGGGAGGAGTGCTAGTGTCCGTTGGGATCTTTGTTGGTGTTGCTGAGGTTCATCAACAAAAATGAAATAGTGTTAGTACTTTATAAAATATAATTTGCAAAGATTAATCTCAAAATGGATTTTAATGAAGATAATCTTTCAATTATTTTTCTAAATTATTTCATAAAAGTGAAGTCTATGACAATAAGAGGATTCATTTTAATTACTTCTTCCTTAAGGACAAAGAAAATATCTGACATAGGAAAACTTCAAATTTAAAAATGGTTTCTACTCCTAGAGATCAATAGTAAAAAAACCTAATAACTCAATTTAAAAATGGCCTACAGACTTGAAAAGACATTTCTCCAAGAAGATACACAAATCGCCACCTAGAATATGAAAAAATGTTCAAGGTCACTCATCATCAGGGAAATGCAAATCAAAACCACAATGAGACACCACTTCACACCTGACAAGATAGCTATTATCAAAAAACAAAAAGTGTCACTGAGAATGTAAAGAAATTGGAACCCTTCCACACTTAAAATTGGTGGGGATACAAAATGGTGTAGCCACTGTGGGAAACCATAATGGAGGTTTCTAAAAAAATTAAAAATAGAATTACCACATGTGATCCAGCAATTCCACTTCTGGGTATTTATCCAAAAGAATTGAAATCAGGATCTCAGAGAGATATTAGCACTCCTATGTTCACTGCAGCACTATTCTTAATATCCAAGATGTGGAACAACCAAAATGTCTACTGACAGATGAATGGAAAAACAAAATGTGGTAATATGTATACAATGAAATACTATTCAACCTTTAAAGAGAATGAAATTTTGCAAGATACGACAACATGGATTAATCCTGAGGACATTATACTATGTAAAAAAAGCCAATGATGGAAAGACAAGTACTGCATGACTCCCTTATATGAGGTATCTAAAATAGAGAAATTCATTGAATCTGAGTAGATTGGTGATTGACAAGGGCTGGGGAGATAGAGGAAAATAAGGAGTTAATAATCAATGGGCATAACATTTCCATTAAGTATGACGAAAAAGCTCTAGAGATCTGCACTACAACATTGTACCTATAGCCAACAATGATGTATTGTAAGCTTAAAAATTTAACAGGATAGATCTCATTTGAAGTATTCTTACCACAGTAAAATAAAATGTATAAAAAGAGAAACATAGCTACAAAGGGGAAACTTTTTCCCCTAATATTTAAGAAATTCTATGTTTAACACTTCTTTAATAGTATACCCATGGTGTTGAGTGGTTCCAACAACCTCCTTTTTCCTTACACAGATGTAATACCCTGGGAAGTGAAACTGCTAAACCCTTTAAAGAAAAAAAGGTTACTAATTCAATGATAATTATGCAAGTCTTCATTGAAAATAAGAACTAAAAATAACTTTCAGGGGATAGTCCAAGATGGCGGAGGAGTAGGAAACTTTTTTTGTCTGGCCCCAAGAATTCAGCTAGACAGCTATCAAATCATTCTGGACACCTGTGAACTCAACTGGAGATCTAAGAAAATAGCTGCAACTCTACAAATAGAAAAGCAACCACTTTCTGTAAGATAGGAGGTGCAGAGAAGTGAATCTGAGACCATATGTCTGAAGATTAACTGCGGGGGAGGGAGCCTCCATAAGCCGGCTACTGGAAAGTGATATAGCAGTGAAGCGCAAAATCAGAACTTTTAGAAGTCTGTTCCAGTTAGAGACGTCCCTGCATGAAAGGTGCTCAGGTGGCAAAGCAGGGCGGAAAACTAAGTGGGACAGTGTGGTCTCAGGATCCCCAGGGTCACAGGAAGACTGGGAGTGCTGAGTGCGGCCGAGTTCCCAGGCATCAGAGCAGGAAAGCTGGCTGTAATCACTGAGCCCAGGAATTGGTTCCCAGCTTGTCGTGCCATATACTACAAACCGGGGCACAGCAGAACCCCGGCAAGACCCCCCACCCCCACCCCAGGAGGATCGGCGTGAGTGTGCGCTGCAGGAGTCTTCAGGGTTTGGAGACTCAAAATGGGGTCACGTGACCAAGATAGAAACGTTGGGTCATAGGCCAGGTGAGCACGGAGTGCAGCCGGAGACAAGAGAGACCGTAGTGATTGACTGCTTTTCTCTGAGGGTGCACTGAGGAGTGGGGCGCCGAGTTCTTTGCTCCACGGGACATTGGGAAACCGCCATTGCAGCGCGGAAAGCCTTCAGGGAACAAAAGCCACAGGGAGCAATCAGGTGCAGATTACTTAGCCTGGCCCCCTGGCAAAGACGGTACAATTCCTCCTGGGGCAAAGACATTTGAGAATCAACGCAACAGGCCCCGCCCCCAGAAGATCAGCAAGACCAAGTTTACCCATCATAGAGAACTGCAAAACTCAAGCACTAGGGGAAAATAGTTTATAGAATTAATGGTCTTTTCCCCACGATTCTTTAATCTTTCAATTTTAAATTTTTCCTGTTTTCAACCAATTTCTTACTTTATGAACTTTTTAAAAATCTTTTTTAATTTTCATTTTTACATTCTATCCTTCCATTGTACTTAATTCTATTTTTGTATATATATAAAAGTTTTTCTCTCTGCAATTCTGGGATGCAGTTTCTTTTAACAAATAGACCAAAATACACCCAAAATCTAGTGTATGGCTCTGTTCTCTTCACCTGTCTGATCATATTCTCTCTTTTTTTTTTTTGTTAAAGTCTTTAATTTTCATCTTTACAGTTACAGTCTATCCTTTCAATGTATTTAATTTTATTTTTGTATATATATAAGTTTTTCTTTCTTTACAATATCGAAATGTAGTTTCCTTGTAACAAACCGACCAAAATACACTCAGGATATAGTGTATTGCTCTGTTCTGTTCTGTTCACCTGTCTGTTTACGTTTCTTTTTTTTTTTTTGTCTTTTAATTTTCATTTTTACAGTTACACTCTATCCTTTCATTGTACTTAATTTTATTTTTGTACATATGGGTTTTTTTTCTTTACAATTTTGGGATCTGGTTTTCTAACAAAGAGACCAAAATACACACAGCATCCAGTGTATTGCTCTTTTCTGCTCACCTGTCTGATTACAGTATTTTTTTTTTAATTCAGTTTTGGGTCTTTTCTGATTTGTTTAGTGTATATTTCTCTGGAGTCGTTGCCATTTTAGTATTTTGTTCTCTCATTCACCTATTCTCTGGATAGAATGACAAGACAGAAAAACTCACCTCAAAAAAGAGAACAACAGGCAGTACTGACTACCAGGGACCTAATCAGTATGGATATAAAATTAAGATGTCGGAAATACAGTTCAGAATAATGATTATAAAGATACTATCTGGGCTTGAAAAAAACATAGAAGACACTAGAGAATCTCCTTCTGGAGAAATAAAAAAACAAAATCCCTTTCTGGAGAAATAAAAGAACTAAAGTCTAATCAAGTCAAAATAAAAAAGGCTATTAATGAGATGCAATAAAAAATGGAGGCCCTAACTGCTAGGATAAATGAGGCAGAAGAGAATAAATGATACAGAAGACAAAATGATCCAGTATAAAGAAGCTGAGAAAGAGATAAACTACTACTGAATCATGAGGGGAGAATTCGAGATAAGTGATACCATAAAATGAAATAATATTAGAATAATTGGGATCCCAGAAGAAGAAGAAGATGGGGTGGGGTGGGGCGCAGAAGGTATAATGGAGCAAATTATAGTGGAGAACAGGGCAGAAACAATAGACTGGCAGCAGACCTATCCACAGAGACCTGACAGGCTAGAAGGAACTGGCATAATAGATTCAGGGTGCAAAATGAGAAAAATATGCAGCCAAGAATACATTATCCAGTTAGGATGTCATTCAAAATAGGAGAGATAAAAAGCTTCCAAAACAAACAGAAACTAAAAGAATTTGTGATCACTAAACCAGCCCTGCAAGAAAACTTAGAAGGGATCCTTTAAGCGAAGACAGAACTCAAAAGTAACATAGACCACAAAGGAAGACAGATACAGTAACAGTAACTTTATAGGTAATACAATGGCACTAAATTCATATCTTTCAATAGTTACTCTGAAGGTAAATGGGGCTAAATGCCCCAATCAAAAGCCATATAAGGTATCAAACTGGGGGGCGCCTGGGTGGCTCAGTCGTTAAGTGTCTGCCTTCAGCTCAGGTTGTGGTCCCAGGGTCCTGGGATCGAGCCTCACATCAGGCTCTCTGCTTGGCAGGAAGCCTGCTTCTCCCTCTCCTACTCCCCCTGCTTGTGTTCCCTCTCTCGCTGTGTCTCTCTCTGTCAAATAAAAAATAAATAAAATCTTAAAAAAATGTATCAAATTGGATAAAAAAGCAAGACCCATGGATATGCTATCTGCGAGAGACTCATTTTAGACCCAAAGACACCTCCAGACTGAAAGTGGGGGGAGGGGTGTAAAACCATTTATCATGCTAATGGACATCAAAAGAAATCTGGGGTGGCAATCCTTATATCAGACAAATTAGATTTTAACCCACAGACTATAGTAAGAGATGAGGAAGGACACTGTATCATACCTAAAGGGTCTATCCAACAAGAAGATCTAACAATTGTAAATAGTTATGCCCTTAACATGGGAGTAGCCAATTATATAAACCAATTAAAAACGAAATTAAAGAAACATATCAATAACAACACAATAATAGTAGGGGACTTTAACATACCCCCCACTGCAATGGACACAATATTTAAGCAGAATATCAACAAGGAAACAAGAGCATGGAATGACACACTGGACCAGATGGACTTCACAGATATATTCACAGGATTCCATCCTAAAGCAATGGAATACATTCTTCTCGAGTGCACACGGTAACATTCTCCAGAATAGATCACATCCTGGGTTACAAATCAGGACTCAACCAGTACCAAAAGACTGAGATCATTCCCTGCATATTTTCGGACCACAGTGCTTTGAAACTGGAACTTAATCACAAGAGGAAAGTTGGAAATAACTTGATCAAATACATGGAGGCTAAAGAGCATCCTACTAAAGAATGAAGGGGTCAACCAGGAATTAAGGAAGAATTAAAAAAATTCATGGAAACAAATGAAAATGAAAACACAACTGTTCAAAACCTTTGGGAGGCAGCAAAGGCAGTCCTAATTCGGAAGTATATAGCATTACAAGCCTCTCTCAAGAAAAAAGAAAGGTCTCAAATACACAACCTAATCTTACACCTAAAGGAGCTGGAGAAAGAGCAGCAAATAATGCCTAAACACAGGAGGAGAGAAATAATAAAGATTCAGCAGAAATCAATGAAATAGAAACCAAAAGAACGGTAGAACAGATCAACAAAACTAGGAGCTGGTTCTGTGAAAGAATTAATAAGATTGATAAACCCCTGGTCAGACTTATCCAAAAGAAAAGAGAAAGGACCCAAAGAAACCATAAATGAAAGAGACGAGATTACAACGAACACCGAAGAAATACAAACAATTATAAGAACATATCATGAGCAACTATATGCCAACAAATTAGACAATCTGGAAGAAATGGATGCATTCCCAGAGATGCATAAACTACCAAAACTGAAACAGAAAGAAATAGAAAACCTGAACGGACCCATAACTAGGAAGGAAATTGAAGCAGTAATCAAAAATCTCCCAACAAACGAGAGTCCAGGGCCAGATGGCTTCCCAGAGGAACTCTACCAAACATTTAAAGAAGAATTAATACCTATTCTTCTAAAGATGTTTCAAAAAATCAAAATGGAAGGAAAACTTCCAAACTCTTTCTACGAGGCCAGTATTACCTTGATCCCAAAACCAGACAAAGACCCCACCAAAAAGGAGAATTATAGACCAATATCCCTGATGAACATGGATGCCAAAAATCTCACCAACATACTAGGCAATAGGATCCAACAGTACATTAAAAGGATTATTCACCACAACCAAGTGGGATTTATTCCTGAGCTGCAAGGTTGGTTCAACATCAGCAAATCAATCAATGTGATACAACACATTAAAAAAAGAAAGGACAAGAACCATATGATCCTCTCAATAGATGCAGAAAAAGCAATGGACAAAGTACTGCATCCTTTCTTGATTAAAACTCTTCACAGTGTAGGGATAGAGGCAACATACTTCAATATCATAAAAGCCATATGCGAAAAGCCCACAGTGAATATCATTCTCAATGGGGTAAACTGAGAGCTTTTCCCTTAAGGTCAGGAACACGGCAGGGATGTCCACTCTCGCCACTGTTGTTCAGCATAGTACTAGAAATCCTAGCCTCAGCAATCAGACAACAACAACGCCTTGAAGTCAAACTCTCACTCCTCACAGATGACATGATACTCTGTGGAAAACCCAAAAGACTCCACCCCCAAATTGCCAGAACTCATACAGGAATTCAGCAAAGTGGCAGGATAGAAAATCAATGCACAGAAATCAGTTGCATCTTTATACCCCAACGAGACCGAAGAAAGAGAATTTAAAGGAGTCAATCCCATTTACAATTGCACCAAAAACCGTAAGATACCTAGGAATAAACCTAACCCAAGAGGCAAAGGATCTGTACTCAGAAACTATAGAACACTCATGAAAGAAACTGAGGAAGACACAATGAAATGGAAAAACATTCCATGCTCATGGACTGGAAGGACTGTTAAAATGTCTATGCTACCTAGAGCAATCTACACATTCAATGCAATCAATATCAAAATACCATCAACTTTTTTCACAGAGCTGGAACAAATAATCCTAAAATTTGTATGGAACCAGAAAGACCCCAAATAGCCAGAGGAATGTTGAAAAAGAAAGCCAAAGCTGGTGGTATCACAATTCCAGACTTCAAGCTCTACTACAAAGCTATAATCATGAAGACAGCATGTTACTTGCACAAAAACAGACACAGAGATCAATGGAACCGAACAGAGATCCCAGAAAGGGACCCTCAACTCTATGGTCAACTAATCTTCAACAAGGCAGGAAAGAATATCCAATGGAAAAAAGTCTCTTCAACAAATGGTATTGGACAGCCACCTGCAGAAGAATGAAACTGGACCATTTTCTTACACCATACACAAAAATAGACTCAAAATGGATGAAAGACCTAAATGCGAGACAGGAATGTATCAAACTCCTACAAGAGAACATAGGCAGCAACCTCTGTGACCTCGGCCACAGCAACTTCTTGCTAGACATGTCTCCAAAGGTAAGGAAAACAAAGGCAAAAATGAAATACTGAGACTTCATCAAGATAAAAATCTTTTGCACAACAAAGGAAACAGTCGACAAAATCAAAAGACAACTGACAGAATGGGAGAAATTATTTCCAAATGTCTTATTAGGTAAAGGGTTGTCTCCAAAATCGATAAAGAACTTGTCAAACTCAATACCCAAAGAACAAATAATCCAATCAAGAAATGGGTAGAAGACATGAACAGACATTTCTCCAAAGAAGACATCAAATGGCCAACAGACACATGAAAAAGTGCTCCACATCACTTGGCATCAGGGAAATCCAAATCAAAACCACAATGAGATACCACCTCACACTAGTCAGAATGGCTAAAATTAACAAGTCAGCAAATGACAGATGTTGGTGAGGATGTGGGAAAAGGGGAATCCTCTTACAATGTTGGTGGGCATGCAAGTTGGTGCAGCCACTCCGGAAAACAGGATGCAGGTTCCTCAAAAAGTTGAAAATAGAGCTACCCTCCAACCAGCAACTGCACTACTGGATATTTACCCCAAAGATACAAAGGTAGTGATCTGAAGGGGCACCAGCACCCCAGTGTTTATAGCAGCAATGTCCCCAATAGGCACACTATGGAAAGAACCCAGATGTCCATTGAAAGATGAATGGATAAAGAAGGGGTGGTATATATATACAATAGAATACCACTCAGCCATCAAGAAAAATTGAAATCTTGCTATTTGTAGTGATGTGGATGGAACTAGAGGGTATTATTCTAAAGCAAAATAAGTCAATCAGAGAAAGACAATTATCATATGATCTCACCCATATGTGGAATTTAAGAAACAAGGCATAGGATCATAGGGAAAAGAGGAAAAAATAAAACAAGACAAAATCAGAGAGAGACAACCCATAAGAGACTCTTAATCATAGGAAACAAACTGAGAGTTGCTGGAGGAGATGGGGGTGGGCAGATGGGATAACTGGGTGATGAACATTAAGGAGGGCATGTGATGTAATGAGCACTGGGTACTGACCTCTACCTCTGAAACTAATAATACATTATGTTAATTAACTGAATTTAAATACAAATTATAAAAACAATAAATGTTTGATAGAATTCAAAAAAAATTAGCATTGTTGCAAAGGAAATAAAAACTAATCTGGAAAAAAAAAAACTTTCAGAAAGCAACCTTAAAACAGGCACCTGGGTTGACTCAGTTGGTTAAGCATCTGCCTTCTGCTCAGGTCATGATCTCAGGGTCCTGGGATCGAGCCACTCATCAGGCTCCCTGCTCAGTGGGGAATCTGCTTCTCCATCTCCCTCGGCCCCCCATCCCCCCACTGGCTCACTCCCTTTCTCTCTCTCAAATAAAATCTTAAAAAAAAAAAAAAAAAAGCCAGCTTAAAGAACAGACTGGTTCTACTGTAAAAAAGGAATAAACAGTTTTGTTTTTTTTTTTAAGGGATGATTAAAAGCAACTTACTAATACCAACACTACTACCTAAATATTTTATACACTACTTTATAAACTTAATTCTTTGTTAAATGTGAGCAACATGGCTTTTGCTCATTGGAAAGGTTAGTATATTTCAGAAATGTAAAAATTTATCATTTTGAAGTAGCATTTCACCCATCTTCCCACCCACCTCCCCTCTGGCAACAAACTATTCTGTTTTCTATATTTAAGAGTCTGGTTTTTTGTCTTTTTCTTTGCTCATTTGTTTCTTAAATTGGTGAAGGGGATTAAGAGTACACTTATCATCGTGATGAGCACTATGTACAGAATTGTTAAGTCGTTATATTGTACACCTGATGCTAACATAATGCTGTATGTTATACTTCAACTAAAAAAAAATAAAAAACTTAAAAAGAGTGTTTCTAACTTTTTAAAGTAAGCAGTACTACAGTAAACCTTTTCATGTAAAAAAATAAAGTAGCATTTGATGAAAAATGCTGATACCAGTAACACAATTTAGAAGACTCTCTTGAGAGAAAGTGCTTTCAAGCTAGGGTACTCACAGGAAGGGTCTGAGACTGCCGTGTGAGATGATTTTCTTGAACTCCGGGAGGAAGCAGAAGGGGTTGGGCTGTGATCAAACCTTTCCAAGGCTTCCTTGAGACTGACTGTGTTTATACGATTATCAGACCCAGAATCTTGGCTCTAAAGAGACAGAGTAAAATAAATGTTTTCTTGTGGTTCAGTTCAGAGATCCCAAATTAGCGATATAACCTGCTAACCCTTCTTCCCCAAAATCAGTTTTAACCCACAACAAGACAAAGGTACCTGTGTAATATTTTCTATAGCCAGAAAATTTTGGCTTCATTCTCTATTTACAGAAACAGATGCAAAAGAATGAAGCTGGACTCTTAGTTTATACCATATACAAAAATTAAGTCAAATGGATCAAAGACCTAAACATAAGTTAAACTAAAACTATATAAGTTTTAGAAGAAAAGGGGAAAAGCTTTATGACACTGGATTGGGCAATGACTTCTTGGACGTGACACTGAAAGCACAGGCAGCAAAAGTGCAGCAAACAACACTATAAACAGTGGAAAGGTAGCCCACAGGATGGGAGATAACATTTGCAAACCACGTATCTGATAAGGGATTAACACCCAGAATATATGAAGAATCCAATTTAAAAACAGACAAAGGTCTTGCATATATAAATGGCCAATAAAACACACTGAAAAGATCCTCAATGTCAGTAATCATTAGGGAAATGCATATCAAAGCTATGAGATACACCACTTCAAACCCATCAGGATGACTATTACTTAAAACAAAAAAAAACCCAGAAAATCACCAGCGTTGACAAGGACAAATTGGAACTTTTGTACACTGCTGGTAGGAATATAAAATAGTGAACGTACCATAGTAAACAGTATGATGGTTCCTTAAAAAATTAAATATAAAATTACTACATGATCCAGTAATTCCATTTCTAGGTAAATACTCAAAAGAATTGAAAGCAGAGACTCAAACAAGTATTTGTACACCCATGTTCATAGCAGCATGATTCACAATAGCCAAAAGATGTATGCAACCCAAGTGTCCATCACTAGATGAATGGATAAACAAAATGTGGTATATCCATACAATGGAATATTACTATAGTATCCATAATCAGCAAAATCTCCTACTCTCAACCTCACCTCTGAACATCCATTTGCTGGCTTGCTCTGAAACCCAGATGTCTCCCGAAAATACCACTTCCTTACAGGTCTTTTAAGTGGTGGCTATTTTCTATCTCATAACCTTCAGAGCCCTGCTCTGGAGGGGAACAAAGTCCTCCTACTGCTCTTTCCAGAACTTTTCCCTTTCCTCTTTCCCAAAACTCACAGCCAGAATCTCACATTATCACTATATGACGATCTCTCATTGCTGTAATAAGTCATCTACTGACCTTGTAGCCACTCCTCACTAAGTACCTGAATTCAGATTTCTGCTCCTGGCTCAGTCCTAATTCTTACTTCCATAGTTACCAATATCAGTATCAATTCGCATGTTCAACATCATGACTTCTCTCTTCCTTGATGCCTTGATCTTGATTTCCACCTGTCCTCAGTCACTCATTCTTAGTCATACCCTAGCCCTTGTCATTACCAGTAAGAATAAACCTTCCATAATCTCAATTTCAAACATCTTTATCTTTGACCAGCATTTTCCATATTTCCTACTCATTTCTCTTTAGTATCCCAACTCCTTTAAATCCTTTAGTAGAACATAAAAATACACTGATTCTACATTTTCACAATCACTCTCATTTTATGTCTTCTCTCCCTTCTTTATCCAGCTTAAATTCATGGTTAATCATCATAACCACACCCTTGTATCATCAACTATTCTGCTCCTATCTCCCTTCACCACACTACCCTGGAAAAATCCCAATACTTGTTAAACCAAAGTTTTAATCTATTCAGAACGTAGCTGAAGAAATACAACATGGTGACCGTTCTCTCTTTAAATTAATGGCCAAGAACCTCAAGCGGGCCCTTAATCCTGCCTGCTAGACTAAAATTACCTTGTCTGTTCACTTTTCTACTTTCCTAGGAAACAATTTAATCCTTGCTCCCCTCTTCTCAAACCTCCAACAAGTCCTCTCCTAACCCCACTCTGACTGGTTACTCTGCTTCCTGTTTCACTGAAGAGTGCTGCTGTACGCGCCTATCATTATATCAATCTACCTAGCAGCGTCTGTACTCATACATTCTGCCTTTCTTCATGTCACTACAGATCAGGGATCAGCAGACACTCTCTGTGATGGTCAGAGAGTCGATACCATAGACTTTGAGGGCCACACACTCTCTGCTACAACTATTCCTGCTGTTGCAGCACAAGAGCAACCACAGGCTATATATAAACAACTGAGTGTGGCTGTGGAATCTGAGGATGTAATTTTAATGTGTCACAAACATTATCCTTCTTTTGATTTTTTTCAATCACTTAAAAACACGTGGAAAACATATTTTTAGCTTGTGGGGGTTACAAAACCAGGAGGAGGACCAGATTTGGCCTAAAGGTCATAGTCTGCCAAATTCCTCTGTCACTGAATAATTTTTCCACTAGCTAAACCCTATCTGTCCACTATGGATGGGGTCCCATCTTCTCTCATCTGTTCAAGAACACTGCTCTAGCATTTCTACCTCTATCAGTAATTCTTCTCTTTCCAACAGAGCTTTCTCATCAGTATACAAACATGCTATAATTTCTCCCACCTTCAAAAGCAAAAACTTCTTTTAAGCCTACTTCTTCTTCCTACTACTGCACCACTCCACTCTTTTTTGTAGGAAAACCTTCCCTACTTGCTGTCTCTAATTCCCCTTGTCCCAGAAAATTCTCTCTTAAGCCCACCCTAGTCAGGCCTTCACTCATATTACTATTCCACCCAATCTGCTCTTATTGATCAATGAATGCATGTTGTTAAACTCAGTGCTCACTTCTCAGTGCTCTTTTAATTTAATCTACTGCAGCCGAATCTGACAAAGCTGATTGTTCACTCCTCATGGACATACTTTTTCTTGGCTTCTAGGACAACTCAGTTTCCTGGTTTTATTCATACCTCACTGGATATTTCCCTTGAGTTTCCTTCATGTCTTAATGATGGATTGCCCCAGTACTTAGCCCTTCCTCATCCTCTCTCTCTCTCTCTCTCCATTCATTTCCTGGTGATCACATTTAGATTCATGACCTTAAAATCCATCCGCCCATTCAAGTTTCTCAAAAATATACCTCTACCCTAATCTCCAGGAGGACTGTGGTAGTAAAAGTAAACACAGCTAAAGTAGACATAGGCAGAATATATTTCGGAAGTAAGGCTAGTTGAATTTGCTAAGGATTGGACACTGGCGTAAGAGAAAACAAAGCAAGGAGGAATGACCTCTGTATTACTTTAATTTATATAACTGTCCTCCCTCATTTCAAGAAACCCTAGATTTAAGCACTTCTCTCAGAAAATGTATTTTACTAAAACATACTGGATCTTCTTCCACTAAGCATACAAAGCCTCTTCGAAAAAATTCTTTCATGTGGGATCCATGATTGCAGAGAACTCTGGGTTATTCACCGACGTATTCTGAGCATCTAGAGCCATGTCCAGGAAGCACTGGTTTGTTGAAAAACTTAATGGTATGTCTCATATTGACCCTGGCAATGCTGCCTATTTAACTCATTTTTTATACAGATTCTTAATTCTTTTCATTCCACTTATTTTCTGCACATCAAAAGTAACTGTTGTAGGCAACTTCTGACACAGCCCACAATGATCCCCGCCTCCTGGTATTCACCACCTTGTATAATCCCTCCCCTACAGTAGAGGCTGAACCTAGTGATTTGCTTCTAATGAACAGAATCGATAGAAGTGATGGGATATTACTTCTGTGAATACGTTACAAAAGACTCCGACTTTCATCTTGCTGTTGGTGTCTCTCCCTGGATCTTCTTACCTACTTGCTTGGATGGAAACAGCTACCTGGAAAGGAACTGAAGGCTGTCTCTGGCCACTAGCCAGCAAGAAATCAAGGCCCTCAGTCCAACTATTGCTGAGGAACCCTATCCTTCCAACAAGCACTGAGGAAGCTTAGAAACAGATTCTGCCCCAGTGGAACCTTCAGTTGACTGTGGCCCCCACTGACACCTTGATTACAGCTTTGTGAGAGACCCTGGGCTGACCCCTTGGTCAACGACCAATTCTAAGCAGAGGGCCCATCTAAACTGGGCCTAGATCTCTGACCCACAGAAACTATGAGATAATAAATGTGTATTATTTTATATCATTAAGTTTTATTACACAGCAATAGGTAACTGATACTTCTACCTGGAATTAATGAAAAGAGAAACCAGAGTTCAAATTCTGACTAAAATTTCAAGCCATGTGTCTTTAGGGGAGATCCCCCCCAAAGCCTCAGTTTCAACATTTTCAAAACGGGGATATTACCCATGAGATAAGGATGTCTGAGGAATAAATGACACTTCACACTTCATATAAAGAACTCTCCAGAGCCTTGCATATTGCAGGCAATTAGGAAATGGTAGTTTGAATCTGAGATATGTCTCTCACTAAACAGGAGGCCCTTCAAATCTTTTTTAGAAGCAGATAAGGTTTTAAAATATTAAATTTAAAATAAAAATAAAGGGGTGCCTGGGTGACTCAGTCAGTTAAGCATCTGCCTTCGGCTCAGGTCATGATCCCAGAGTCCTGGGATCAAGCCCCACGTCGGGCTCCCTGCTCGGCGGGAAGCCTGCTTCTCCCTCTCCCTCTGCTGCTGCTCCCCCTGCTTGTGCTCTCTCTCTCTGACAAATAAATAAATAAAATATTTTTAAAAAAAATAAATAAAATAAAAATAAATAGTAAAATATAATTTATAACCCTGTCACAAGTGAGGCAATGAAATATTTGAAAAATACTTTTCCTATAAATTATTGAGTCTTGCCTTTCATTGGGAAGAAATAATCTTTTTTAAAACTCTAAGATACATACTTTGTCAGCAGCTGTCTCAGGAAGAGACTCTTCAATGCCAAGTTCTCGTCGTCTTTCAGCCCTAACTTCTGCATAACTACAAATGGAAAAAAACAGAATTTTTGTGCTTAATCATTCATTTAAAATACTGCAGAGATGTGTTCCGTGTTTGTTATATGTCTTACTTGTTCGTCATGGATTTCAGACTATTTGCTATGCACTACACAAACCTAGAACACATCTATAGTGTTCTATCTTAATCTAGGTATCTCAAAAGTTTTATATGCTATGGTAAATGATCTTTGACTACACAGTACTTAAAAGAGGACTTAAATAAAGGAAAAGTATGCTTATCTACTCCAGTGCTCCTTTTACATGATGGACTTTGGTACATAAAAGACAGTCACAGCTTCTGCTCTAAACCATGACGTTTATGTCAAGAATTATATATGTATTTGTACCTGTATTCTATTTCCATATAATGCCTGTAAGTAAATTTAATAATGCATTGAAAACATGTATCAAAAATTAGGAAAAAGATCACTGTAGCTCTTAACAAGTCATGCCTAAAAATTACATTGCCAAACTCACTATCGGTGTTTCTATAATTCAGAAGTGCTGTAAAAGAATTATTACCTTACTACGGTGTGAGTACAAACAATAAACTCTGGCCTTGAATTCCACTGATGATAAGTGATGTAATAATGAGTTTGAAGCCAAATCCACTGTTGTCCCTTGGTGAGGAACCTATAATAACATGATTTGCCTTTCCCATATTGCATTACTAAGAAGGGAAAAGAGAAAAATATTTATTGATTCATATCATTAGTTATGAATCTGGTTTTTAGCCAGAGCTATAATTTACATTTAAATCTATATACATAATTCTTCTGGCTTTTCAAAAACATATTATCAGTTATAAGAAAGTGTTATTCTATAGAGATAGCTTAAGGTCCCAAGCAATTAACCTTATCTTCCACAGTGCCCAACTTAGAATCAGTTATTGCTGATCTCAGATACTTTTCACACACGATACATTTCCAAATACTTAAGAATGAAGTAGTCACGTATTGACTTCCTTCTACTAACAAGAACTGAGGATAACAGCAATAAATAATCACATTTGAGGTTTTTTTCCCCATAGGTATCCTGGCAGGGACTGCATCTTTGGAGCATTTAATTCAAAACTTTAATGAAAATCAGAGTAAGTTAATTTAAAGTAACTGGTAAGTATAGTGTTACCCAAAACATTCTCTGTAGATTCTAAGTTCTGAAGTCTTGTAACATATTAGGCAAAAAAAGAGTTCTGTAGTTAAATTAATTTGGGAAACAGTGTTAAATAGTTTTACTTAGTCTTTCTTTTCAAAACTATGAGTATGCTAATTTATGTCATGATTCTGGGGGTGAGGAGGTGGTAGGGATTAATTACGAAATGTTTCCCAGGTTTCCTTGACCATAAAATCTGTTTTTAATGGACTGGCATTCTGTGAAACAAACCTTAGGAAATGCTGGTCAGGGATCAATCTCTCTCTATCTCTCTTCATGAGGAAACCAAGGTCTACAAACTCAATTGCTTGTCCAAAATTACCCAGCTAGTCAGGAGAAGCGTACATCTTGTCAGTACATCATAGAGCTTAGTGCCCCTATCACTCGGAGTGAATGCTTTTTTTTTGTGCTGAAATAACTTTACTCTGAACTCTTCCATTTAGTTGATGCTGTTATGTAACATGGTTTATTTTCATATAGAGGCTTACTAAACCAGCCTAAGACATCATGAAAGTATCTTAAATATCTAGTTAAGTTTTAGAGGATACTTCAAGAGGGTAGGATTTGGGGAGGAGAATCAGAGAAGCAAATAAAATATCATTAAAACAAACTTCTGAAACAAAGAAAGAATAGCATGTGGTAAAGGGTCTAGACTCTAATCCTGTCTCTGCCACCCATGAGTTGTGGGATTGAGAGTAAATTACTTGGCCTTACTGTGCCTCAGTTCACTCATGGAGATAATAATATCTACTTTCTAGAACTCTGGTGATGAGTAATGGAGATAACGTATATAAATCGTTTAGAATAGTGTCAGGCAGGCACAAAGAGATGCTAATGTTCCTGCTGCTAATTACCATAACAGCAGGTAACATTAAGTACTCACTATGGGCTTTCTAAGAGTTTCTTTAAATGTGCACCTGCCTCCTGGGCAGACTTACACGCCTGGATATCAAAACTTATTAAATAGTGTTATATTTTGACATATACAATTTTCAAAGGAATCTACTTCTCTTACTCTGGATATAGAACTTACACACTTCAAAAACAAGGTTCATTATATATTATAAACCTGTACTTACTATTATAGATTAAAATACGTAAAACAGGAACAAGTTTAAGTTTGATCTAGGATTCCTACTGGATTGGTTATAAAGTAAAATCTTCCAAAAAAGACAATCTTCCAGTATTTTTCAGAAATACAAAAATGGTTACAAGTCTGCATTTTATCACCCTCTATTAATACACTAGTTATTTACTTGACTAAAAGCAGTTATTATCACCAGAAATATTAAAATCTACTTACAGTGCTCATGACACTTTGCCAAATTTTCTAGGTCATCCACATGATAGTAATCATAGCCTGATGTTCCCAGAACTTCAAATGGCAAATATCCTATTATAGGTGGTGCCCTAAATTACATATAAAACCAACAATATTATAACTTTTTCCACAATAAGAAATACCTCAACTAGAAATAAGTTTTGGGGGGCACCTGGGTGGCTCAGCTGGTTGAGTGTCAGACTCTTGGTTTCAGCTCAGGTCATAATCTCAGGGTCGTGGGATTGAGGCCTATGTCTTCGGGCTCCACACTCTCTGGGGTGTCTGCTTGAGATGCTTTCTCTCCGTCTACCTCCACCCCCCACCCTGACTTGCACACACATGTGCGCACTCTCTCTCAAATAAATAAATTTAAAATATATATATATCTTGGGGTGCCTGGGTGGCTCAGTCGGTTAAGCAGCTGCCTTTGGCTCAGGTCATGATCCCAGGGTCCTGGATCAAGCCTGCGGTTGGGCTCCTTGCTTAGCGGGGAGCCTGCTTCTCCCTCTCCCTCTGACCCTCCCCCCCTGCTTGTGCTTTTGCTCAATCTCTCTTTCAGATGAATAAATTAAAAAAAAAAAAAAACTTTAAAAAATAAAAAATAAATCTTAAAAAAAAGAAAAATCAGTTTTGGGAGAAACCTTTGGTTTTTGAAAAATGGATAATGGATTTGAACATCTGATTAGAAAACGTTTGTCCCTAAAACCCATTAATTACATGACTTTTAGCTTTTAATGGAATTTAAAATGAAGTTACCTGTGATCTAGAAATAGGAACTTCCATTCTAAACTATGTCTAGATGTAAACTCTTCATTAGGTTCTTCAACGGTGCACATTTCCTACAAGCAAATTAGTAATTAAAATTTAGAAATACTGTTCTGTGCCCTTAGAAGAATCCTAAATATTGTTAGCCATGAAAGTCATTATTAGATAATTTTTCCCTAATTTATTTTTTAATCACATTTTAATTTTCTAGTATTAAAGAATGTGGCAATAAACAGATGCAGAATTCTGGGGGAGTATTTCTCTGTCAACATATTTCTCTATTCACTCACATGCCTATAAAACCCTAATTCTAGGGGCGCCTGGGTGGCTCAGTCGTTAAGCATCTGCCTTCGGCTTAGGTCATGATCCCAGGGTCCTGGAATCGAGCCCCACATCGGGCTTCTTGCTCAGCGGGAAGCCTGCTTCTCCCTCTCCCACTCCCCCTGCTTGTGTTCTCTCTCTCGTTGTCTCTCTCTGTCAAATAAATAAATAAAATCTTAAAAAAAAAAAAAAAACCCTAATTCTAAATTCAGATCTCTCTCCTCAATTACAGTTCTATATTTCTGTCCGGATGTCCCCACGCATCACAAACTCAGTACGTCCTAAAATGAACTAACTGCTTTACTCCTCATACTCACACAGTTCTGCCTCTTGTTACTGGAGGCATACCTGGTGTTGTGCCATCAGTCTAGAAATCTGGTAGTCACAAAACAATCTCATTTTCCCTTTTAAAAACCATCTAAATGGCTATTACCAAATCGTTTCAATTTCACCTTCTAAGTTCAAAAAAAAAAAAAAATCTATTTGATCCCATCTATCTTCAGGGTCTTATTAGACTCTAGACTTGCCATCACTGGCTCACATTATTGCCATAGCGTCTCCCCAGACAAGTCTCCCTGTTCTTTAACTCATCTTCTAAACTGGCCACAGTTACTTTCTAATACTCAAGTAAGATTATGACTTCCCTGCTTAAAACCTTCATGATTTCTCATGTGGTTAGGATAAAGTTTAAACTCTTAGCATGGAGAAACAACAAAGAAACACATTTTATTTCTGGACTCTGCTTGCTTTTCTAACCTCATCTCCCACCATCCCTACCCCCACCACACACAGTAACCCTAGACCCTAGTCATACTCAGCAATGTATTCCAACCTCCTCTGTGTCCTTGAATGACCTTCTATAGCACAATATAGTGAATTAAAAGCTTGGGCTTTGAGAGAATGGGAATTATAATTAATCCCAGTTCTACCACTTTTAACAGCTGCAACTCTGGGGTTCCCAAAGCCTCAGTTTCCTTAATAAAAAATATATATTATAATATAATGTATAAATAATAAAATGAGGATCATACTAGCAACTATCTTATAAAGTTATTACAAGAATTAAATGAGATAATACATGTGAATTATGCAGCGATCAGCAAATGTTAGCCCTTGCTATCATTTCCTAAGAACAGAACAAGCAGAGCAAGACTGGATTAAGATCCTTGAACTGCTATTTCAGCATTTTGTCCTAGAATATGGTTATCTCCCTAAATTTAAAATCTTAGCCTGGCTTATTTCAAGCCACTTTCTAGTGGTTGAACTGTCTTCCCACTTGTCTACTAATCATCTACTTCTTGGGCCCCAGGGAATAAAATAAATTATCTAACTGAATTTTAAAATTGAAGAAGTAAATTATATGCAGTAAAAGGCCACTTGCATATTTCTTTCAAAAGCAATCTTGAAAAATTACCTAGATTTTTGGCCTTTCCCCTTTAATGTAGATTGTGAACTATACAAAAGTACTCTAAAATTTTGCACAAAAGCAGGACAGGGGTGATACATAACCACTGACTAACTGCAAAGCAGATATATTTTAAAATGAGTGCCTTGATAAATCATTTCCTTCAAAATAAAATAAGACAAAATCAGAGAGGGAGAGAAACCGTAAGAGACTCTTAACTCTAGGAAACAAACTGAGGGTTGCTGGAGGGGAAGAGGGTTAGGGGATGGGGTAACTGGGTGACAGGCATTAAGGAGGACACAATGTAATGAGCACTGGGTGTTACATGCAACTGATGAATCACTAAACTCTACCTCTGAAACTAATAATACAGTATATGTTAATTGATTTTAAATTGAAAAATTATCGTGACCATGTATATTTAATGACTCATGATCATTACTGCTTTAATGTTTGTAAGAAATATCAGTTATTCTGGAAACAACAAAAAAATTACATAAAGATAGTTCTCATAACATGAAGTGAAATCCTCTTTGGAAAATAAAATTAGAAACATACCTTGATGAATTGAGGTGTAGCTAATCTCACAGTAGCTACAAAACAAACTCTATCATCATAAGAAGGTCTGTGTGTGCGTTGTATAGTTCCTTCAAAACCATTGTGTGCTGAAGTGGATACTAAAACAATAAGGAAATACATATCATCAGTTACTCCAGTAAAATCTAGTTATTGATGTTCAAACATCCATGTCTTTAAGAGTTTAAAGAAATACCAAGTTAAAATTCACTATATTTTTAACTCACCGCTGTTTAAAGATTTGAAATTTCCTATGAATTTTACATATTCATAGGTAGACGGCTCCTTCGGGTCTATTGTTCCTCGAAGCATATGACAACAGAATTCTAACTGATTTTTTGCTGAAATGAGAAAAAAATGTGATATATTTATGGTTTATCATAATGAATGATCTATAAGATGATAAAAGTTGTGTAAGTTTATAATCACTATTTTCTCCAATAGAAGTCCTCAAGGACATTTTATTTAGTCCATAAAAGTAGAATATCTTTAGAAGATGATCTCACCTTGTTCTTAACAGAGAAGACAGATCTTCTGATATAAGCAACTGTATGTTTCCCCACTTTTATCTGTCCTTCCTTCTCATTCTTCACTCTAATGTCAAAGAAAGGTTTTGCTTCCCATTACAAAGCTAATGCCTCTCTCTACTTCAAACAGCCTTTCCTACCTTCTCTATGACTAGGGGCACACCACTGTCATTCATTCCTCTAGAATCCATACATTCTCTTCTTTGGGCCCTTACTTTCCAATTTTAAATTTGTCCAGGTCTTTCCATCTTAAACAAAGGGTTTTTCATGCTATTCTTTTTAGTATCATAGATCTTCCTTTTTATTATGTACTCTAGTTTTCATAGATTCATCTCCCTTAACTTCATGAAATGTGGTGTTAGTCCTTACACCTCTGAAGAAATTTCTCTTCTGAAGATCACCAACATTTGTTTTGTTAACTTCAATGATCTTTCCTTATTGTTTCTACCTCTTTAAAACTCATTACATCTTCATCCCCGTAACATGAAACTTACCTTCCTAACTTATTGACTATTTCTATAATCCCTCCGTCAATCTATTTTCAAACTATGGGCATTCACAAAAGTTCTTTTTAGGGGCGCCTGGGTGGCTCAGTCAGTTAAGCATCTGCCTTCATCTCGGGTCGTGATCCCACGGTCCTGGGATCGAGCTCCGCGTTGGGCTCCTTGCTCAGCGGGAAGCCTGCTTCTCCCTCTCCCTTTGCCTGCCGCTCCCCCTGCTTGTGCTCTGTGTCAAATAAAATCAATCTTAAAAAAAAGTTTTTTATTTTTTACTATCCCTTATAAACATATTGGCATTGGTAAATTTACTCCTAAATCTCTCTCCCTAATTCTAACATTTTATGTAAGACCAAATCTCATATCACTATTTGCTTTAGGACATTTCTACTTGATTGTCCCACCAAGTAACTTAAACTCAAAATACCTGAAGTGAACTTATCCCTCTTTCTTCTAAGCCAACTGTTCTCCTTTGTCCTATATGTGTTATCTCCCCAGTTAGAAACCCTATCAATTTGGTCTCTTCTCTACCTAACATATGCCCCAAAACTAATCTGTCACCAGAACCTGCTATTTATTTCACCAAGGAAGCTCTCATTAGTCATTTTTTCCAACTGAGCATCCAGTACCACCAATTTAGTAGACAAATTACCCTACATCCAGGTAACTGCAAAATGTATTTTTTAAGCTTCTACACTCCTGCCGCTCATATTCAATCTTGCCTACTACTCTTAGACTAATTTTACCTTCATCATTATTTCAGCACTGAAGGACTAGTAACACCTCTTTTCGCTCACAACATCAAACTCATACTCTTCTGTCATTACCATGAATGGCTTTATTATCAAACTCAACAGATTCAAAATCTACTTTCGTCCTAAAACCTTCCCCATTGATGATCCCTGGCCACTTGGTCACCTGTGCCCAATACCAAGTCCTCTTGAGTTTATCTACTCAACACTCAAATATATATATAATATATATATAGGCTTTCCCTTCCACCCTTAACTTCTATTGCTATTCTTACCTCCAGTCTGGTCCTTTCAAAATTTTCCACCTGAGATACATTTTTTTCACACCACTTTTTTTCAAATCCCCTTTCACTGGCTCCTCACTATGTAAAAAATAAAAATCAAACTCCTTAGGATGAACTATTAAGCCCAATTTCCTTCTCTGGACACAAATCATACCACACGTACTACCCACCCCACCTTCATTATGGCCCAAATGACCAGCCTGCAGAATCCTGAATTTTCTAAGCAATTTCCCCTGTTATATATCATGTTACTCCTTTGGCATGAACACTTTTTTTTCTGGGGAAATAAATTTATTTTGTATATTAATTGTTTAACTAGGGGTCAGTAAGTCATTTAATTAAAGCTTTTCTCTATCAAAAAGTACTGTTGCCAACCTCACCTCTGATCTTGGAAGCAGAAGTCTAAGAGCTGTCTTTCTGCCAGAAGCTTGCTTGCATTCAGTTCTCCAGCCAATTCTGCCCTTATGAAGGTCTCTAATGTGGACCTTTTCGCCTGTCCACCTACTGCTATGTCCCAGAGTTCCAGCTTTGTTCTCTTTGCTCTATACGTTTACCTGAAGCAATGCCATTCAATCCACAATGTCAAGCACTATTTAGAGACATATAACTGGCCTCTATATCCAGCCCAGGTCTCTTCCCTGGAATGGTCTATCAGTCAATGTCATAAGAACTTGATTTTTTTAATAACTTAATTTTTAAGCAATTATAAGTAGGTTTCAAATGGATTCTCCTTGTCTCTAGTTCTTCTCGACTCCTGACAGACTATACATTCTTAACAAAGAAAGACATTCATACATAGTTACACGTAAATGTATGTGTGTGTGTCTCTATTCTTGGACAGTTAGTATGCTACAGAATTTCAGGGTTCAAAATACAAATAATTTTTAAAATGATTAATCAATATTACCAGAAAAGTCAAATATTCTAAATCATGAACAAAAGTGATTAAACACTAAACAGTGTTAAAACAATTTCAGATTAAACAAGGGGTAATTTAGTGGAGAAAATGAGACATTCAGGTCAAATTAATTTGTCAAATGAATCTAAGAGAAATGTCTGATTATACTATAGTATTTTGTACTTCTTGAAGGCAAGGACTATTTTTCACTATTCTTGGCACTCTTATGATATAGCACAAGTTCCAGGAATATTAAATATATCCAATAAATGATAATTCTGTTTAATAAAGCAATTTCCTTTACTTAATAATATTTTGAAATACAGAAGTTATTTTTTCCTAGTTTCAGTGTTCAATTGGTTAGTGATGGTGAAAATGAGAATATCTTAAAAAAAAGATTTTTTAATACATTGTCAAGTTCCATTTTTGTGTAAAATACATTTTTATGGCAAAACTATTGTAACAAAAAAGATGGGCTTTCAATATACCCTGAGAGTATGGTCATAATTCCATTATATATATATATTAATATTTAAAAAGGATCTAATAGGGTATATGGAATGATGCTATTTGTTAATATGGTTTGACGTGTCTGTGTTTGTTACAAACGTACAAAAGTAAAGGAAAATGCAACCAAATACATTTAACTTTTTTGCTTGATGGTGACTACTTACATTTTAAATATTCAGGGGTTAATGAATCACTTTCCAGCAGATGAGTAGAGAGTATTTTATAAACCTCTGAATGTTCCCCCTCTGGGATAAAATTAAATATACTTTGATCCACAAGATCAGACTGAAAAAGAAATTTTTAAAAAATAAAATAATTTTAGTGATTCAAGATACATGTATTTTAAAAGTGTATCATGGGGCGCCTGGGTGGCTCAGTCAGTTATGCGTCTGCCTTCGGCTCAGGTCATGATCCCAGGGTCCTGGGATAGAGTCCCACATTGGGCTTCCTGCTCAGCGGGGAGCCTGCTTCTCCCTCTCCCTCTGCCACTCCCCCTCCCCTTGTGCTCGCTCTCTCTGTCAAATGATAAATAAAATCTTATAAAAAAAAAAAGGGAAAAAAATAAAAGTATACCATCATTCTTAAAACATCACATGAGCATATGGCTTTCAATTATCTGTAAAAACTGACAAATGCCAAGTTATCAAGCACAACTCAAAAAACAAGAAAAGGTGGAAGAGGGTTAACATGACCTCCATGCCTCTGATACTAGTGTCATCAGATCTATGATCAATATTGGCTGTGAAAGTCTGATAAATTATTTGCAAAGGCAAGTTTCACTAAATTTGAACATTTACTATATAACAGGACTAAGAAAGTTTATTAGAAAGATCTTTGGCTACGAGATACAGTCTTATCATATATCCAAACCTCTGGTAAATTATGGCGGTGTATATTATAACAAAGGACTAAAGCATTAGCCGCTGGCTAAGTGAAGAAGAGATTTGATTTGGTGTTATTTCAATTGTCCAGTGTGTCCTTTCTTTTTTATTTCATTTTTCCAGTCATCTATCCTGTAACCCATTGTCAAAAAGCCTTGCTTTTAGATAAAACAGTCAAGTAGTATGTTAAACATTACAATCCTTGCTAAAAATATGGCTTTAACCATGGTTTAGTAACCAACATTCATTTGACAAACATCAGGTTATCTATGATGTGCCATGGCTGCGGAATCAAAAATGACAAGGGGTGCCTGGGTGGTTCGGTCAGTTAAGTGTCTACCTTTGGCTCAGGTCATGACCTCAGGGTCCCGGGATTGAGTCCCAAGTCGGACTCCATGCTCAGTAGGGAGTCTGCTTCTCCCTCTCCCTCAGCCTTTTCCCCACTCATGCACAAGTGTACTCTCTCTCTCTCAGATAAAGAAATAAAAATAACATAATAATAATAAAAAAAGAACCACTGACAAAACTTCAGTGACTTCACATTTCCTACCAAATCTAGTACATTCTACTTGGTTTCTCTATGTTTTCAAACTGCCCCATGGAATTCTGGGAACAGTGAAGTGGCATCTCAAGAACTGTGGAGGAAGGGGTGGAGGGTAAGGGAAGTGAGAAGGTGTTGTGAAGGCCGGGCTAAGGGTCTTTCCCCCTGCATTCAACCAAAGCACTTCCACTGTTTCTATTTTAAACACTGTAAAAATTTTGTTAAAAGCAAAACAAACAAAAAACCCCCAAAGAACAGTAAAAAACAACCATGGAGACTAGTGGGAGGTGAGAAAGGGGTGTTTTACTACTCTCCACACAAGCCATACATTCACATTCTTTCTTTTCTCTAGCCTTCCCCACCTACCCCATGAAGTAGAATATCCTCCCCCCTCTTTCCACAGATTTGTACCTACTCTAACCTTTCAAAGTTCAGTTCAAATGATTTCCTTCAAAAAAGCATTCTCTTCTTGCCCTTTGCAACAACATGGATGGAACTAGAGGGGATGATGCTAAGTGAAATAGGTCAGTCAGAGAAAGACAATTATCATATGATTTCACTCATGTAGAATTTAAGAAACAAAACCGACGAACACAGGTGAAGGGAAGGAAAAATAAGATAAAAATTGAGAGGGAGGCAAGCCATAAGAGATGCTGAACTCTAGGCAACAAAAAGAGGATTGCTGGAGGGGAGGTGTGTGGGGGGATGGGATAACTGGGGGATGGCCATTAAGAGGGCACTAGATATAATGAGCACTGGGTGTTATACGCAACTGTGAATCATTAAATTCTACCTCTGAAACGAATTTTAAAAAAAGCATTCTCTTTAACACCATAATCCACAGTAAAAATAAAATTTAGTATTTATTACTCATATCATGCATTTTCCATAAAAAATATCTGTTATATTTTAATGTCTATGCCCTGCTACGCCATGAGTGAACAAAAGGGTCCTATCTCTTACACCTTTATCTCCTGTCCTTCAAATCAAGGCACATTAGCACTATGTTTTGCATATAATAGTAAAATATTTTGGATTAAGGAGTTATTTGATAAAGGTTTTAGGGATAACCATACCAAAAATATATCTGTATTTTAATGAGATTGTGCTGAAAGTCTGAAAAACCTCTAGAAGTAATGAACTAAAAATTCAAGCACGAATAAGAACAAAAGCTAGAAAACTGCTTTTGTTTTCTATAAATATAAAAATATATAAATCTATAATCTATATATAGATATAATCTATAAACATAAAAATAAAGTATCAGTAATATAAGCATTGATACTAATATAAAAAACTGTCTTTTTTTTTTTTAAGATTTTATTTATTTATTCATGAGAGACAGAGAGAGAAGCAGAGGGGGAAGCAGGCTCCCCGCGGAGCAGGGAGCCCAATGCGGGACTCGATCCCAGGACCCTGGGATCATGACCTGAGCCGAAGGCAGACGCTTAACGACTGAGCCACCCAGGCGCCCTAAAAACTGTCTTAACAGAAAAATAAGACACCAATTTGAAAAGCTAAAACTTTCATTTTGGAAATGATTATAGTTTTCTATTATTTATTCTTATCTACAATTTCTTCTACTATTTCAGTAAATTATGATTTGAGCCATGTTACCCTTACAGGAGGTTTCATATTCATAGGGAAAATATGAATGACTAGTAGAGAGTGGTACAGTCACAGGTGATCCTTCCCCACCACTCTGCTTCCCCTGACACTTGATAATCTGAAATGTCAGAGTTAGCAGGCAACTAATTAATGTGTCAAACTTTCCTTTAACCACTACACTTAAAATCTCTAAATGAAGCTGATCATACTTATGTTGGCAAACCATCCACTCAGTTCCCAAACATAATTCAAAGGAAAGAAAATAAAATGGTAGCTATCTAGATCCTTCTATCTCTGTCAATCATTTTCATGAAGAAGAAATATAAAACCTGCTGTTTATAATGTGACATAAACCAATAGTCTTTCTCTTTTCATTCTTTTCTTAAACTGGAAGTTTGTGCCTCTTAATCCCCTTCTCCTATTTCATCCATCCTCCCCCTCCCCCATCTCCTCTGCACCACTAGTTTGTTCTCTGTGCTTAAGAGTCTGTTGGGGTTTTCTATTCATTCGTTTTATTTTTCAGATTCCACATGTAAGTGAAACTATCTGGTATTTATCTTTCTCTATCTGACTTATTTCACTTAGTATATTACCCTCTAGTTCCATCCGCATTGTTGCAAAGGGTAAGATCTCATTCTTTTTTATGGCTGAGTAGTATTCCATTACACACACACACACACACACACACACACCACCTTCTGTATCCATTCATCTATTGATGAACAGTTGGGTTGCTTCCATATCTTGGCTATTATAAATAATGCTGAAATAAAAACAGGGGTACATACATCTTTCTGGATCAGTGTTTGTGTTTTCTTTGGGTAAATACCCAGGAGTGGAATTACTGGATCATACAGGCCTTTTTGTTTTTTTCTACAGTAGGTCAATGTGACCATTTATTGGAAACTATTCACTCTTATCAATTTCCTTTTCTTTCAGGTAGACAACCAACAGTTAAATTACTGCTGTTAGTTTGGAAATATAAACACAAGTTGCCTTAAAAAGGACTAAAAGCTCCTCTGGAAAAAAATGTCAAATATATGTTAGATACAACAACTGTGTTCCTTTTATACAGGCATAAGGAACAAAAATTCTGGCTCTATCAAATAAGCTTTCAAAATCATCATATGACTATTCAAAAAAAATTCTAAATTGTATTTCTGTGAACTATATTTATACCAAAGTCTGCACTGACTTTCTTAAAACACACTTATGTTTATACTTCCCAACTAACAAGTTAAGAAGAGCAGGAAAGGAAAGGAAAAGTATCTTCAGAGCAGCACTCTTACTCTTGGACTCTGTTACACTGTAACACGGTTAATCACACCCCTGATATTACATGTGATTACAAGTGTAATATATCCTCTCTCAGGAACACATTTAAGCAAGAGTGAGGAAATCAATCTTAACTTGTCAAGTGTTACCAATTTTAAGTTCCTTGTGTTGGCACTTTCACTAAATTCTTGCATAATTAAGTCCTATTTCTCTGGGTACATGTCTGCTGATAACACAAAGGCAGGTTGGGCTAAGGAGGTCTAAAATCCCTTCTGATGCTGAGGTTGTATGACCCTATGATTTTGTTACAGAACGTCAGACCAAGAGGGGGGAAAAAAATCAATAAAATTCCTTCTCCTGATTATTAGCCACAAATAGGTTAAAATGTGCCTAGGTGAATTTCATAAGTATGAAGTGACAAAGAAAAATATTCTTTTGGCAGGACCTAAAGTATCAGTTTTATAATTTTATAGTCAGAATTAGAATTTAAAAATTTTAAGTCCTATTGACAATGGCAAATTTTAATTTCTCAAGAGAACTGAATTATAAACACTAAAGCCTAACTTGGGGATTTGCTAATGTTTCTTTCCTTTCAGGCAACAGCCAAAATTCTATTTTAGACAAAAAATGTTTGCATATTAAAACAAAAAGAAATTATTTTAAACTATTTGTTACAGTTAATTTTTACTGACAACTCAAAATAGAAAAGCACATAGTTTTCTTTTATTATGCATAATCCTAAACAAGTGTTATTTCATTTTCTCAAAAGACACTTGTGCTTATGTTTTCAAACCATTAAATAACATATAATTCAGCAATGCCAGTGATGTGAGGCAAAGTATCCAAAGTAACTGGACAAAAGCAAAAAAACTGTTTTTAAAAAGCTACTATTAACTCAGAATGAAATGAAATGGGTCTACTGGATCAGCAGCAATCTTCTCTACCAAAAAATTCACCTGCCAGTCTATAAGCTTTGGCTGACACAACTAAAAAGATCCAGAAGATGTGAATAACAGAGGAAACTGGGTATGGGGCATAAGGGAACTCTCCGTACTATCTTCTTCATTTTTCTGTACATCTAAAAATAGCTCTAAAATTAAAAGTTAAAAAAAAAAAAAAAAAAAAAAACCCAGGAGGGAATCTGAAGCAAAGAGGGTTTTCATTAACGGGGAAAACATTAATGATTGAAAACTTAAATGCCAACTAGACCTACTGTAGAATCTGGTCGTTTAAGTGTGAAGTTTATTCTTTTGGTAACGTATAAAGTAGCAGAATAATCAGAGGAAGGGAGATAGCACTTTTCACTGTCTCTTGAAAGAAACCTTTACAGAAGAGTTTACTTTGTAGTGTCATAAGTCTTCAAAAGATGGGCAATTTAGGAATATTTATAAGTAACTTCAGAATATTTATACTACAAGCCCTATCTTAGATAAGAACAATTACATTTCTTAAACAATTACATTTTAAATAAAACCTTCAAATTTATAAAAACTGTCAATTGTAGCACAGCATCTAGCATACAGTGACACAGAATATTCAATAAATATATGTTTAATAAAACAGCAAACAACAAAATATAATTCAGGTATTCACCATCCTAATCAAAATTATGCAATATAATTCTTTTCTAATTCTGTACTCTTCCAGTCATATTGAAAACAAATTGAATATGGTTATTATAAAACTCTCATTTCTAGCACAGAGCACAAAAATTCTGTATCTATTATTTTTAGTGTGTTATTCTAAGTTATTCTTTTGAGAAAATTATTTGAGTTCCTCAAAAGAAACAAATGCCTCCCTAAAAAATTAGTTATTCTCAAGATATTTCCAGTGATTTAACAACACTGTTACGAGGCTGTTTAAAAAGGAAACACTGAAAACAGCATTAGAATCAGGAGGGCAGAGGTTGGATACAGTGGCAGTTAAATATTAGTTACTGCCAAACAGGGAGACATGGTTAGAGCTCTCGTCCCACTCCAGCCACTGTTCCACACTGCTCTGGAGGTCCTCTTCCTCATGCTTTAGAACATTTAAAATAGGCATTAGATAAGAAAGAGATCACAGGATACTTACTGGTAAATGTTCAAGTAATGAAGTTATACTCTCAGACACATATATTATGCTTCCATCTGTCATGATTGCTAAAAAAAAACCATCAAGAGCCTGAAATTAAACATAATGGTCAGTTAAGTGAAAAGAAAAAATGTACAGGACAGAAAAGAAAAAAATCTAATTAAATGACAAAGGACTTAATGTGGAATTTCCAGAGCGCTGCCAAATGCTAGCTTTTCCCTTTACAATACCTTAGTACATATCTTTGCGCATTCTTAAACGCTTCTGGAAAAAAAAAATCACACTATGGTCATATATGGGATAGCTGGCTTCTAAAACCTAGATACCTAATGTTCTACCATTATTAGACGTATATTATATGAAAATTGCCGTATCTGAAGCACACATGACATCAATGCTATGTCTGACACACGAAAGAACACACTTCCACCTTTTGGATATATTAACAAAAAGGTGTTTGACTGAAGCTTAAGGAGATACATGGGGGATAAAGTGAAAGGGAAATTAAGCTGAAAAAGTATGCTGGGGTCAGATCATGAAAGGCCTTGAATACCAAGTCAAGACATAAGGACTTTGTTTAAAAGTAGTCTAGAAACAGTATGTACAAGGATTTAGAAGAAACAGAATTAAGTTAGGAAAATCTCAGAGGCTTTTGGAAGAGTCAGGGAAGTTAATAAAAATCTGAATGAAATTAGTAGCAGTAAGAACAGAGAAGGACTTAGGCAAGTATTGAGAAATCGGAAGTTAGAGTTCAGGAGAGAAGCTGGTACAGGGATACAATAGTTAATAATAAAGCAATCCTGTACTTTATATTTTTATAAAGTATTTTCACTTGAGAACCCTAGGCAAAGAAGTGACAGCTGAAGAAATACAATCTGCAAAAGACAGAATCATGTCAAAGAAAATCCTTAGAGTAATTATCTACACATGGGGATGAGGAGGAGGACAAGGGACAGAGAAAATGACAGAGAATAATAGAGAAAACACTGTTGTCAAGGAAGGCAATGGAAGAGAAAATGACAAGGTGAGTGAGGAGGAAGAGATGTGGTTCACTGTAAAATGAGATCAAATAAGATAAGGACTAAGAAAATGAGAAGTGAATTCTGGTGACTTTAAAGAGTTATGTCAGGGACGCCTGGGTGGCTCAGTTGGTTAAGTGACTGCCTTCGGCTCAGGTCATGATTCCAGGGTCCTGGGATCGAGCCCCGCATCGGGCTCCCTGCTCCGTGGGAAGCCTGCTTCTCCCTCTCCCACTCCCCCTGCTTGTGTTCTCTCTCTCACT